ATCTCTCTGTTCTGGAAAGATAACGCGGCCGTTTACCGGAGATCTCCAGGAGAATGAGGATGAGTGGCTTGTTAAGATTGTGACACTTTTCGTCAGATCACGTCTGTTTTTCATCAGAAAGCTTGCACTTACAATAGACAGGACTTGATGACTTCACAATAAACAACAGCGTCATGAGTCATGCTGTATGCACAAGTAACGAGCAAGTTACCATATAATCTAATTAAGTGTTTTTAAAATGCTCTTTTATGTGTGTATGTGTCTATTAGAATGAGAACAGAATTTGGGGCTTTAATTTGCTACATTCTGGAGGTTAATTAGTAGCTTTTGCCGCAACTGCACGAGTCAACAGTCTTATAATTATCTATTGATAATTTGTCATTTTGTAACACTGTGCACACATTTATTTCTGCCAACATTAGCTTTGCACATGCATTTAGTCCAGTTATTAGCCTCATGGATATTATTATTACCTTATTTACGCCTATGCTAATATCAGTACTTGTAAAAACACTACAGGTTGGTGCTGCATAGTGTTCTGTCTGTGTATTGCATCTGTCTGTTGTTTTCTTTTGCTTATATTGGGGCGTCTGTCACATGTGTTGTTTATATGTGTATTATCTTATTCATGTGCATCCACAGCCAATCCATTTTTAATGTGTCACAATATGAATGGGATATTGGTGAAAGCACATGAAAGCAGCAAACATCACACACCAAATCCTCTCCTTCTACACCACAAAACACAAACATGTCCTGGATGTCTTTGGGTCGTCGGTGACATAATGAGGCTGTCTGAAGCGCTAATCACCTCATCGTTCCCAGACTGCGAAATGAACCCTTCACTTGTTTCATCTCAAAGCTGCATGTGCTTCAGCTGTGCACCACTTTGATCATGTGCGGTCGCTGATGACCACTCTGAAGTCATCATCTCCCTTGATGACTGCAGATACACTGTCAACATACAGCAGAAAGACGTGTATCTGATTGAATGACCCAGGTGTGTTTCAAAGACATTAAAGGGTCCTGCAAAATGAGCAGAAAGGCTTGTGAGTATCCACTGTTGACCTCGTCTGCAAGTGTTGGAGGCTGTTTGCCTCATCAACCTCCCCGTGTGTGTTACTCAACTGCACGACTGACAACGCAGTGGATTCGCTGTTGACTGTGGGACAGAAATAATTGTTGCTGCCTCCAGGCACAGTCACAGTCAAGAACGGGGACGATTCTCACTGGCTTTGCTCGACACCGAAACTGGCAGTTTATGTTTGGACAGAAATAATGGGAGGTTTATTATTATTGTTGTGACTGACAGTTGGCTCTTGCTATGCAGATGAACCATATACGTTATTTACATAAGAAATAGGGAAAAAGTAAATAACATGTAATTCATTTTATATAGCCACATGTTTTTCAGTTCTTTTGGGTAAAATATTAAGTTTCTAATCAATAAATGGCAAAATTAACTCAATCTTTCTTTATGTTTTGTCATTTCTGCCTTCAATATTATTTTTGAATCTTATCTTTGCCACACGATCACACACACGGACTCAGCCAATAAAGGGGGAAAACAACAATAACAGAAACAAATATCACAACAGAGAGTATTTTTGTTTGTGTGAAAGAGACGCTGTGAGCTGTTCAAGTCTTCCCCAAAGCATGGCGGTTCAAACTGCCAATTTGGATGGCCAAGGAGCTGGCACAGTGAGCCAATGGGCTTTGTCCTGGGCCAGACAGACCTGTCGGTGCACCTGCTGATTCCCAGGCCTCCTTGCCAATCTTCGACTACAGTGAAACCCAGCGAGAGTGAAACTGGCTCTGAGCCAGAGGAAGAGCTGGTTGACTACTGCTGACACAATCGCAAAAAAGCAGGGGATCCTGGGAGAAGGACCAGCCCTGCGTGGAGATGAGAAAAAGATGACTAACCCTTTGACGAGAACGAGAGGAGGAGGAACAGTTCAGAACTCCTGGGAACCTAAAACCTGTATAACATGGCCCTCGCGATTGCTCAATGAGTGCACTATTGTTGCACACCTTGTATGTGTAAGCGTCTGTGTTTGCATCATGTGTGAGTGTATAACATCATGCATTCAAGATACTTTTCTGAATTAGAGTGAGGAACCTAGCGAATCTGCATTTTGCATTTCATTTGAAAGACAAGGAAAGAGTTTGAGTGGAAAAGAGTTATAAATAAGACATGACGTTTGAGTGTGTTTCCCAAAGGAGTCTCATGGCCGGCTTTGACCCAGGGCTGCTACCTCTCAGGATGTTAATAACCATCGCGCCGCGTGTGTCTGTGTGTCTGCCACACAGACACACGCGGCGTAAACCTTTTGATTAACAGCGATCACGTTTCACAGTGTTCCCCCGAATCCTTCAAAACAACTGAGAACATAAAGATGTCTATTCTTCCCAATTTGGTCTTATTTTCGGTACTTTGTTACATTATTTCTTTCAGTCATGGTAACGTTGCACTCACCGTGTAAATTTCTCAGATTTTGGAACATAGAAACATTGCCGCAACAAAGTCTGATGTTGGTAAGAAACACATGCAATCAGACGTGTTTTAGCAAGATTTATGTACACCACTTTATTTGAAGGTCAAAAGGACAATGAGCACTCCTAAAATGTTGGTAATAATCCCTCTGTGCAAGGAACAGTGTGCATGCAACTACGGTAGGTAGTCTGTTTAGGTTGAACCTGCACACTGTGATTAATGTTTGGGTGATAATTTTATCGTTTACCTATCTTCTCCCTCAAATAAGTTTGTCTATCCTGGGGTTTGTTTATTGACTTGGTGAATACAATATTAGTATTAATGAAAGGGAAAATGGTTCAACAAAATTTGGCACTGGTTGTAATAAACTGGTGTTGTGCTGAAGTCTGTACTGATACCGGTGACTGCTTTCACATTGTATCTAGTCATTTGATTAACATAAACTTATTGATTACAGCAGCTTTAAAGCCTTCTGTAGAATACCAGTGGATCCAGCTTTGGCTGGCACTAACTGGTCCCTGAGGGTCAGAGGTCATCATTGGTCCAATTCCTTTGGATGACAAAACGCTCCGTGGCCTCTCCATAGGAGGTCACTGGGCTGAGACGAAGGATGTCCCGTTTTAACCCGTTGATAACTGCCGTTCGAACAGAACCTGACACACGGCTGCGAGATGGACGGCTCGCTGACTAATGGCAAACAGACTGCTGATGTATTGGGACAATAAAGTGTGGTTTCTTTTTTGTTCCCCTCATCTGTGACTCATCCACCCTGCTCTGAACAAATGCATTGCAGAACCGTCAGATCCTTAAGTGTTTTGTCTTTTTACGTCTCTCTCTCGGTCATGTTCACTTTACATTGCTGTACTAAGAATCCTCTGCTCATTGTTTTAAATCGTTTTCATGGTCACACTTACCAGACAAACATCAATGATGTTGTCAATGAAGTTCTATAAAAATGTGCCCTCTACATTGTTGTGATAAAGCAGCACACTGATACTATTTCTTCTCAATCAGTGACTTTGACTCAATCACACTCTCCCATAGCTCTGGCCCTTTCGAAATCCGACACAGCCGTCAGTCACAGCATGGCACTGCCAAACCCCGTCAGCAGTCATGCGGATTGCATTAGAATCGGTCGAGCCGAGGCACAGCTGGAGGTAAGAGGTTACTTATCATATCCTTGCACCGAGAGACGGTTCAGGAAAAGTACCCCAGAGTGCTGATGTGGATTATTCGGACTCCCTGCAGAGAGCAGTGCTCCAGGCTTTTAAGTGCTTTTGGTGACCCTTTTTGAAGACTCTTCCCTGAAAGTATAACAGTCGCCTCCATCAGACTTGATGAGTAAATCGGTTGTGAATTGCATGGTCATAACATCGCAGGCAAGCTGTTCTAAAAAAAAAAAAACACACGTAACACGGAAGCCATAATTTGCACTTCTTTTATTTGTATCACCTCACTCCCACGCATAACAAAAGACACGCGGGTTAGAGAAGGAGATGGTAAATCCAGATTAAAGACAGTGATAGAAAATGTAACAAAATATACGTGGAGTACATCGATGCATTTAAAAACCCATGTCTTATCTAGTATTTCAAATACATAGACATGACAAATGACCTGTTTTAACAAACAGAATAGCATATACGTTAAGCCGACTTCCACGAGAAGTATAGTAAAGCCTATCCCTGGCTCTGGATATACAAACTGGTACATGCACCAGATATCGTTACACTGGAGGGCAAAATCTCACTTTCTTACATACATCTGAGACAGAAGTATTACCTTTCACTTACATTAAAGTAGAGGCTGTTTAGTGGCCTCTAACTACTGGGCTATTGAGGAGATAAGGAATGTGTTGAGTCTGTAAACAAAGAGGGGCGAATAAAAAAAGGCCCGGCTGACTGTGGTGGTGAGAGGATCCGCAGGGTGGAAGTAAAGACTCCTGCAGAGCTTGATTTTACAGATGCAGATTGGTGGGAGACAGGGACAAAAAAACAACAAACAAAGGTTACCACTCCCATGGACCCCCCCCCCTCACCTCAGAGGATTGTTAAAACAAGTTCCTGTGCCAATTAAGACATTTGTTCCAACAAATCATCCTGCCGTGTTTCTTTTTCACATTCATGTTAAATAAGTTGATAAAATCCTGATCAGACATATATGCCAGGGGTGAGAAGATTGTCAGGTGATTAACTTGAAGGCAAAAAGCCCAAACCAGGCAGGGGAGCTTTCACACGCAGGTAAGAAAGTGGCACCTCGCACTGCAATCCAAACTTGCATATAAATAGGCTGGTGTAGCCAGACGGTGAGAATACAACAGAGAAGTGGCTGACGCCCATCAGCTCAAACCCCAGCCCTGGACGCTTTCTGTTTCTCTCTCTCTCTCTTACATGTAAGGCTGCAGCAGGCAGCAAAGCACAGCATGCAAATCCACCACATCTACATGGTGACCTGTGCTTTCTCTCTGTGGCTGTATGTTGATATGTTCCTTTCGAGTCTCAATTCACTGCCCACCAGTGATGCGTACACATGAAAGCATACGCACACTTTGATTTTAACATGAAACATATGCCCCCCCCATTTACCTGGAACAATCTACATTTGAATATAATGTAAACAACACTGCTGTCCTGTGTCTGTCTGCTGGAGTGTGAAACCACACCCAGAATCCTCTCTGCTGTCCCCGCAGATGTTACTTCCCAATGCTACCCGTGCTCATGTATTGTTTCCCCTTGCACCATTTGGCATCCCAGAGTAATATAAGTCAAAACACTTAACAGGGAAGGATGCTAAACTGCCACAAATCAGAGCCGTGACAGCACGCAAAAGTAAAATTAGTTAAATAAATTAAAAGTTTTGTTGTCCACAACCCACAGGGTTAGCAGTCTTGTTCATGAGTTCAGATGAAGCAGAAGAACTTCTTCCAGCTGCACCTGGAGAAAGCTTTGGTGCGTCTGTCTGAAAACCTCCTCTTCTTGGACTTGCGGGTTTTGTTCTTAATGGCGGCAAAGATGGCTGCATCAAACGCCTCCTTCAGGTTCTTTTGCGTGAGCGACGAACACTCCACGTAGTCTGCAGCCCTGATCTTCTCAGCCATGCTCCGGGCCCGGGAGCTCAGGATGGGCTTGACTTTAGATCGGTCCAGGTTGATGAGGACGTTCACGTCCAACAAGAGGTCCGACTGAGTCCCAACGAGGACGATGGGCGAGGACGGGTTAGAAGCCCGGATCGCTGGGACCCACTTCTTGGTGATATTGTGAAACGAGGTGGGGTTGACCATGCTGAAGCACAGGAGGAAGACGTCCGTGTGAGCATAGGACAGAGCTCTGAAATCATCAAACTCCTCCTGAAATGAAGACAGGAAGCACAGGTTAGTGTCAATCAGACTACCTGCAGACATGATGGCGGGAGACTGACTTAGTGTTAAAGTTAATAACATTCAGGGTGACATCATGTGACAGAGTCACATAGTGGATGAAGCAATGAAGTTCCTTCATAGCTCAGCTCTCATGCCATTAACAAAACAAATCTGAATATTAGCAATGAGGAGTTCATGTTATTAGACTATATATTGTGTCACTTCACTTGAAACAATGAACTCAACAACAGCAAACAGATGACAAGTTGGGACTACAAGGAAAAAGTAACATAATGTCTCGTTGAAAACAAACAAACAAACAAACAGTCTTACCTGTCCAGCAGTGTCCAGAAGCTGAACTTTGACCGGAGATCCTTCGACTTGGACCTGACCTGTTGAAAAGCAACAACATAAATCAGTCAGCATCGAGTTAGTTCAATTTATTTCAGACATTTCAAACAACAAAATCACACACATCAAACAAAACATGCAAAGGAGGGTCAGTCAACACTGAACCAAAGCCAACACACTCATGCAAATGAAAGCCATTCTTACTCTTAATAGAACTAGTGACTCCTTACTATTATATTATCCCAAAAATAACAATAAATAAAAAAAGTCGAGGTACTGCTGTATGATCACTCACCGGAGAAGACGTCAAAGCCGGTCTGCTGGTACTCTGTCGGGTATCCGTTGGACGTGTAGCTGACAATCATGCTGGTCTTCCCGACGGCTCCGTCTCCGACCAGCATGCAGCTGATGACACCGGGCTCCAGCTCATCCTCCCGGGTCAGCCCGCAAGCGGAGGGCACTCGGGACTCGTTGTAGAAGTAATCCATGTTAGGTGGCATGTCGAGCCGGAAAAATGAAACCTGTGAACGCGGACGCTCTCCCTCACTGATCTGATCTGATGAGAAGACAAGACGGTCTGTCACTTACCACCTAGGCGGCCTATCCTGTTGTGACTGACGGGCGACATGTGCGGGAAGGAGAGCTGTGCGGGGGAAGTTAGTGCGCAGACAGGTTGTGATTTGCATAGACACTCCCACCGAGAAAAAAATAGACTGATTAAGAGATATATAGAGAGAGAGATAAAATAAGATAATCCTTTATTTGTCCCGCAGTGAAGAAATTTACAGGATTACAGCAGCATAGTGGATGCAGCAAACAAGAGACATAGTAAAAAACAAGATCAAAACAAGTATTATAAATAAGTAAATAAGTAATAAAACAGTAAAGAATATTAAATAAGTAAAAAATCTAATAACTAATATAAATGTTGTATATACAGACAGAATCTTTTTTGTATTGCACAGTGTATTTATACTGCACAGAATACATAAAAAGTTAATGATTTACAATCAATGCTAAAATTAAATTATATTATAGTGCACTAAAATAATACTAACACTGAAAAAGCATTGCCATTGAGGTGAATAGGAGAATTTAAAATAAGTTTCCTACGCTACTTAATTCTCAACATCTCATCACAAACCACTTCACTCTAAATTTGGGCGAACAGCGCCCCCAGCGTCAAAGAGAAACACTACATCAAACGTGATCACATGACTCCGTGTGTCACCTGATTGTCCGAGTCCACCCTGTGCTGTGTAGTCGGAAGCTACTTTAGTTGTTACAGTAGCACGAATGATTGAAATTGTCGGATATTCCCGTGTTTACGGCAACGTAAGATATTACACCCTACGTCTAGCTCCTGAATTTAGATGCACGCGGAGACAGGAAGCATTATAACGGGTGGAGGTTGAGTTAGCTAGCTAAAGCTGTTTAGCTATGTCGCACTAGGGTTGTCTCTTCGCCAGTCATTGCATGTATATGTAGATAATTAATTTAAAGGTAGTGAAATAAGGTGGAATAAGGTACATTTGAACCATGGCGTCAATTCTCGAAGAGTACGAGGACTCGCAAAACACCAGGCAAAGTACGCAGCAGCACAGCCGCTTGTCAACTGCCAACATCGGGATAACACATTCAGGTAGGTCGCCCTCCTCTCTGTGGATATGCTCCCGTCTGATAAGCTACATGCAAGGATGCTATAACGTTATTCCCACCTTTTAATGAACGTTAAAGCAGCACACTCAGTGCTTTAAATGACTTCACGCTGCACTTGTTCCCCATCTAGGCTTTGTGAATGTGAGACTTGAGGAAGAGAAGCCGATATTCAACAAGCAGAGGATCGATTTCACTCCGCCCGAGAGGATAAACCATCTTGCAGTCTGCAACAATCAGCTGTGCATGAGTCTGGGGAAGGACACCCTGCTGAGGCAAATAACATTATCATAAAACACTGTTGATGCTCACTGGTGTTTGTACTCCTCTGTTGCTAGCTGTTGTTGATTGGAGCCTCCCAAAAGAGATGTCAACACAACTGATAAAAGATACTGATGTTTCATGTTCTGTTCTGTGCAGGATTGACTTGGCCAAGCCAGATCAGCCTAATCAGATTGAATTAGGAAGGAAAGATGAAAGTAAAGTGTACAGACTGTTCCTGGACCCAACCGGTGAGAAAAACAAAACATTATGCGTATTCATATATTGACTGCAGCAACATCTTAAAGACTCAAATTGAATGCTATTATAATGATTACTGCGGCAGCATCGTAGTTATGATTTATTAACAGCAGCAACGGTATCCTCCTCCATATTTTCCCTACTGCAGGCTCCCATCTGCTGATCTGCCTGAGCACCAGTGAGTGTCTGTACCTGAACAGGAACACGCAGAAGGTGCGCAGTCTGTCCCGCTGGAGAGGTCACCTCATCGAGAGTGTGGGCTGGAACAAGATGCTGGGCAGTGAGACCAACACGGGACCCGTACTTGTCGGCACCAGTCAAGGCATCATCTTTGAGGCGGAGATCTCCGCAACCGAGGGCAGCCTGTTCAACACCAATCCGGATCAATACTTCAAACAGGTCCGAGCACGTGTGGTCATCTGTTATGTGTGTTTAGCATGTGTCATCCAGTTTCAATATACAATATCATGTTCTCTTCCTGAGACAGGTCCACTCCCTGGAGGAGGACGGGAAACCCGCACCAGTCTGCTGCCTGGAGGTGGAGCGGGGCCCGGAGAACAAGTACTTAATCATCACCACCACCCGCAAACGCCTGTTCCAGTTTGTGGGTAGGGTGGCCGAGGGCTCAGAGCAGCAGGGCTTCAGCTCCGTCTTCAGCCAGAACCACGACCTGCTACCCAGCTTCCAGGAGTTCCCGGCCAACATGGGCTACAGCGAGATCACCTTCTACACCCCGAAGCTCCGGACCTCCCCGAAGGCGTTCGCCTGGATGATGGGTAATGGCGTCCTCTATGGTCAGCTGGACTATGTCAGGCCTGATTCCCTGCTGAGTGATGTGCAGGTAAATAGCTTTGTGTGTGTGAGTTCTACCCTCGCCACATTCACCGTTGTTTATCTGTATGTTTCACATACTACTTCTCCATTTGTTCTCCCTCCTAATGAAACAGGTATGGGAGTACACCCCTGACATCGACCTTAGTCTCAACAAGCCCATCTCCATTGTGCTGACGCAGTTCCACTTCCTGCTGCTGCTCCATGACCGAGTTAAAGCCATCTGCACTCTGAATGGACAGGTGGTATACGAGGATGTGTTCCCAGATAAATTTGGCGCCCTCAAGAAGATGATCAAGGACCCGGTTGGCGGGTTGGTGTGGATCTACACTGAGCGGGCAGTTTTCCGGTACCACATCCAACGCGAGGCCCGGGACGTCTGGCAGATGTACATGAGCATGACTAAATTTGACCTGGCCAAGGAGTACTGCCGAGACCGCCCCGAGTGCATGGACATGGTGCTCGCCAAGGAGGCCGAGCACTGCTTCCAGAACAAGCGATACATCGAGAGTGCCAAGTGCTACGCCCTGACACAGAACTACTTTGAGGAGATAGCGCTCAAGTTCATCGAAGCCAAACAAGAGGAAGCCCTGAAGGAGTTCCTGCTGAAGAAGCTGAATAATTTGAAACCGAGTGAGAGGACGCAGATCACCCTGCTGGTCACCTGGCTGGCCGAGCTCTACCTGAACCGGCTCGGCCAGCTGGAGAGCGACGGCAACAGCCTCGTCTTCCAGGAGACCCGCGAGGAGTTTCGCCAATTCCTCAGCAGCTCCAAGCATAAGGAGTGCCTGTACAACAACCGCAGCACAATCTACGACCTGCTGGCCAGCCACGGCAACGTGGACGACATGGTGTACTTCTCAGTCGTCATGCAGGACTATGAGAGAGTGATATCCCACTACTGCCAACACGACGACTACAGCGCCGCTCTGGATGTGCTCTCCAAGCACTGTGATCAGAAGCTTTTTTACAAGTTCTCCCCCGTCCTCATGCAGCATATTCCCAAAAAAGTGGTGGACGCGTGGATCCAGATGGGCAAGCGGCTGGACCCAAAGAAGCTCATTCCAGCTCTGATGAACTACAGCCAGATGGGCAGCACCCAGCAGATCAGTGAAACCATCCGCTACATGGAGTTCTGCGTGTACGAACTGACCGTGACAGAGGAGGCCATCCACAACTACCTCCTGTCTCTCTATGCCAAGTACAAGCCGGACTCCCTGCTGTGGTATCTGGAGCAGGCAGGCACACACGCCTCAGAGATCCACTATGACTTGAAGTACGCCCTCAGGCTGTGTGCCGAAAACGGCTACCTCCGGGCCTGTGTGCTGGTTTATAGGATTATGGAACTGTATGAGGAGGCAGTGGATCTTGCTTTACAAGTAAGTGTTCCATGTAAATAAATGCTAATCAAATATTTGATGAATGCCACTAACTTACAATGCATTTCCCGTCCATAGGTAGATGTAGACTTGGCCAAGTCATGTGCAGACCTGCCTGAAGATGACGAGGAGCTGAGGAAAAAGCTTTGGCTGAAGATCGCCCGGCATGTGGTGCAGGAGGAGAAAGATGTGAAGAAAGCCATGAACTGTCTGTCCAGCTGCAACCTGCTCAAGATTGAAGACATCCTGCCCTTCTTCCCAGACTTTGTCACCATTGACCATTTTAAGGTCCGTAATAAAATATTTCCTTTTCTTGTTTTTAGTATTAATAAGAAATACACATAATCAAACCACCTACAGCCCCTTATTGATACTATGTATTCAATGTATGGTTAACATAAAAATATAGTAGATTTCTTCAAATGAATGTACTTCACTGGTTTCTCAGGAGGCCATCTGCAGCTCCCTGGAGGAGTACAACCAGCACATCGAGGAGCTGAAACAGGAAATGGAAGAGGCCACGGAGAGCGCCAAACGCATCAGAGAAGACATCCAGGAAATGAGGAACAAATATGGCGTCGTGGATTCCCAACAAAAGTGTGCTGCGTGTGACTTCCCGTTGCTCAACAGGCCCTTCTATCTGTTCCTATGCGGACACATGTTCCACTATGACTGCCTCTTCCAGGTAACTCATTTCCATACTGCTTTTTGTCAATATGTGCCGCTGCGCACATAAGATGTACTCTTCGTTCAGTCACTATCTTTTTAAAATGCCCATACAACATTTGTGTAGTAATAATAATTTATATGTGTCCTTTTTGTTATTCTACCTTCTAGGAAGTAACCCCTCACCTGACGGCCTTTAAGCAGAGTCGTCTGGAGGAGCTGCAGAAAAAGCTGGCCGCGACCACGCAAACCTCCAAGTCTCGACACCGCCCGGCGCCCAAGGACGAAGGAGACACGTCCAGCCTGGGAAAGGGCAACGCAGGCACGAGTCGCGAGCAGATAAAATCCGACATGGATGACATCATTGCGTCCGAGTGCGTGTACTGCGGCGAACTGATGATCAAGTCCATCGACGAGCCTTTCATCAATCCACAGAAATTTGAGGAGGAGAAATCCAGCTGGCTATGAACGAGGGCCTCCTCTCAATGTGAAAAGACACAACAGCGCACCATCTGATGTCAAGGAAACGTCACCCGTTCAGTGGAAACAGACATTCACCCGATTGCCTGTCAGTAGTGCCTACTGTGTACAACTGTATCAGCTTCTGTTCTCTACCAGAATACACTTGTTTTGTTGGCAGTATGCAGTATGGAAGACCTTTGCACTTTGTATGGGAGTGTTTAGTGAAAGGTGGACATTGTGGGAAATGATACAACATAATGCGTTGATGTAAAATATTGCTTGGGCTGTACAGTGCATACAATGTGCTGAACCTCTGATTATGACAAACAATTAAAAAGCTAGAATCTGCAATATAACTGCACTATTCGTCTATTAATGACATTCGGTTATGCTCTTGTTTTGTCTATTTGAAACATAACCTGCACTTAGACACTATCTGTGCTTCCTCAGTTCAACCACTCAACTCTTCAGCTCTGTGTTTAATCTTACACTTAATGTGGGGCAGATCATCAAACTTTTACTTCACCTGTTCCCTGTTTTGCAATTCAGTTGTGGATCATTAAAGCTTGTCAGCACAGATGAACTTGTTATTCTTGTTGTTTACATGTAATAAATATTTATCTGGACTGAGAAATCAATACCCTTCATCATATTTTCAGCAGGGCTTCTACAGCTGTCAGTAGGAGTACAAAATAAGCTCGTCAGCCAGCTGAAGCAGGGTATGAACAACACCATACTTAGGCAGACTAACTTATGGTTTGGTGTAAGGTGTGTTTAGGGAGACTTGAGTTTAGGCTACTGGGACTAAAAGCATTGTTTGGATCCCAACCAACCCCATGGCCATTTTGTGTGTATCACATAATTGCCATTATAAATGGCAATACATGTTTATACATTTATATGTAAAAAAAATAATACTGGAGTTCACTGCCAACTCTTGACATCGGAATAACTTTACAAATTGTCACATTTTGCTCTGGGTATCCCAGCTGCCTCACCATACCTAAAACGGAGTTCCCGTCTGATGACGTCAGACGCAGCTCGGTAATCTTCGCGGTGAGCAGACGCTACTAATCGACATCGGAATTTAATCGATGCGTTTGTATTCGTTGCGCATATACGGCCCTAAATGGCATACACGGTGGATGTATGCGTTAGCTAATAAACCATAGATACCGCTGGGATTTCTTGTCTCAGTCGTGTCCTCTGAGACGTCGACGAGCGAGCGTCCCTGTCTCTGTGATTGATTATAACGCCTGCTCCTTGCTGTACCCTCGCCATGGCGTCGTGTCTCTGCTCTCTCAGTAACAGAAAGTGGCCGCCTCTCTGCTGTTGCTGCCGACTCAAAGCTCACAGACTCGCTCGGCGCCTCAAACCGCCATTTTGGAGTCAGAGAACCGAGAGTCGGCAGCAGCGAGAAGAGAGACGGAAAAGGGGACACGGGGCTGAGGTGAGAGACTCCTTGGTGGATGTTATGGCGAAGGAGCAATGGGGGAAGATGGCCGGGAGGGAGAAAGAATTAAAACATGGGGATCATTCGTTCACCAGGCAACCGAGTCCCCCGCTCGTATCCGCAACAAGGGTACGAGAGGCGCGGGCGCTGGGCCTTGCCGTCGCTGCATCGCGACTAGCCTGTTTATGAATTGCCATTACACCAATATCATCTAAATGCATTGTTTAGGCGGGGAGGTGGTGGCCTTAAAGAGACAGGGCCGATTTGAATACTTCATATTAATGGCGTGAGAGGACGTCTGTGTCTAAAACGAGCGTTAGATAAAGCTAACGTTTATGATGAAAAGCCACACTAGAGACGCGATAGCAAAGGGGCATTCGTAACAAAGGCTAGATGTGTAAGAAATTAAACACCAACGCGAATACATCTTTTTTGGCGTGGTTTACTTAAAGCTGTCAGTGTGTCAAGCACCTTGACCCTTTACTATCAATGATAGGAGACACAGCAAGGCAGCTAACGGTCGTTAGCTCGCGAGCTACAACACCGTCCAAGGTTAGCTAGCGAGCTAACTGGCTAACGCTAGCCCCAATAAGCTAGCTGGCTAATCATAGTACCGGCGCGTTAGCAAAAGATGATACAGATTATTTATAATATCACATTCTCTCAGTTCACTTCATAAAAATAATTAAATAAATAAAGAGCTCTTGCTCCTGGCTGTATTTGACTTGAGTGCTCGTCATCCTCACACAAAACAGTTAACTTGCCTCAGAAAGTAAAGTGAATATGTAATAAGAAGTTACTACAGATGACAAAAACAATCACTTGTACAATGAAACGATAATTTGGGCAATCCCGTAATACTTGGTCACTAAGTCACATTTATAGTGGAATTAGTGAAATTACACTTTGTAAATGTTTCCAGGCTGACCTTTTAATCAACTAAAGTGACTGATGTGAAAATAGTAAGGTTATGCAGTATAATTACATTGTTTGTTATACAAACATGAGCTAAACAACTCTAAAGATGATACAGCCAGTGCATTTTAAAAAAGTATTTAACATTCCATTATAAACATGATAGCAAATCATGTACAATTTAAATACATAGTAATGCTGCAGGAGCTTTAATTTCTTTCTGTGCGTCTCTATTTGTAAACGAAATATTTTACTGTGGAAAAGTTCCTGTAAATCACGAGTATTCTCACTGTCAGTATTGCGCAGGAGACTACATTTGAAAGAGCACTAGCTCCCCACAAAAACACTTTGATATTGTCATGTGACTATGGGCTTCTTCCTTCGTAGGGGATTTTCACCACCGTCTGATCATTAATCTTGGAATCAAGAACAATGGCATCCTTTACTGAGAAGGTAGGTCCACTGTTTGTACTGTATTCTGCCCAATGAACTATCTGACGGTACCACGCTGCATTCCCAGCCATCGGAGGAGATTATTCTGATATTTGGACTAAATGGACCGCTGAATACAACAGTAGAGCATTACTCATCCCATAGTTTACAGTGTACTGTGCTGCTCATTCTGACCTCGAGCCATCTGCCTATCCCTTTCTTTCTTTCTTTCTTTCTATCTCCTCTCTACTTTTCTCTCTTCAGTAAAAGTTGCTGCCCTGCCGGGCAGAGGTGTCTGTGGTGCATGGCGTCAGGTCAGGGTGGCCAACCGGAGGCCGGGGCATCAGGGAGCTCTGGCCTGGCCAAACCTCTCTACCTGCAGCGCTTGGAAAGATCCCTGAGGTTGGACAGTTTCCTGCGCCAGACAGCCACCATCTTCAACGGCGACAAAACCAGGTAAAGTCTGAGGGGAGTTGGGGTGGGCCATACACTTTTGAGTTTCAGTGGGTGCTGCAGTTTAAAGATCAGTTGTGGACCCTGTCGTGGATACAGTATTTACACTACCAGGCGCACATCCAAAGAGAAGATTTAATATTTGTATATATAGGGTGCATAGAGTGGGCTTACAGCTACGTGCTTCTCATGTTGTAGTGATGACAGTGATGACAGCGATGACAGCAATGGTGCGCTGGGGACGGGGCTGTCCCTGGACCCCTCACTCAGTCAGCATACAGCTGTTACAGTGAAGAGTGAGTCATGTGAGCAGGGGGACAGGTTGTCAGAGGGAAAGCCCCTCAACGGGGTTCTGCTGCAGGGTAAAGGTAAGACACATACAGTATAATATTTATACTTATTCAAGTGTTACTACACCTGCACAACCTCACTGGTGTCATTTAACACAGGAGACATGCACATATATGTCGTGATTTTTTATTTATTTTTTGGTTCCACTGTAAACTCCACAGACCAAAAGGCAGATAAAACAAACCTCTACAATTTCTCCAAGCTGAAGAAGAACAGGAAGTGGCTTAAGGTATTTTTTACGGACATATTCTCTATCGTACTACAGATTTAAGCATTAGTAGATTACACAAATAACTAATAGATTAATAGATAAAGATCAGTGCCTCTTTTTACCCCCTTGTTCAGAACGTTTCACCGCTACGCTCACCTCCTTTTCTCACGCACTTTATATCTATATCCTCTGCACACCCTCAGCTCTGTTTAACCGTGTTCCTGCTCCGTCTCCTGCAGAGTATTCTGTTGAGTGACGACACCACAGACTCGGACACGGACTCGGATGACTCTGACTTCAGCTTGTCCCGGGAGGAGCTGCATGACATGCTGAGGTTACACCGCTACACCCGGCAGCATCAGAGCAAGTTCCACTCTGACCGGGAGGTACAGACGCACACACACACACACATAAACGCACTGCCTGGTGATGTGGAGAATACCTCTCACATGTGTTTTTTTGTAATATCTGTCTGTGTATATTTGTGCTACAGCTTCACCAATATCAGTACTACAGCACTGGACTCCTCTCTACCCATGACCCCTTCTATGAGCAACAGCGCCACCTACTGGGCCCGAAGAAGAAGAAAATCAAAGATGAGAAGAAATTCAAGGGTAAAGGCAAAAAAAATAAAGTCTCTGGGATATGTTGTTGTCTTGTTTGTGTTAATTCCTCAAAGGAAAAACAAACTTAATTATTGTTATCGGAGTTATTTGACAAGCTTTCATATTGATCAGTCACATTCAATTTTTTGTTAGCCAAACTGAAAAAAGTGAAGAAGAAGAAGAAACGGGGAGAGGGAGAGTTTCTGGATGATGGGCGTCCTTACATCACCAAGATCTTCGCAAAGTTTTCCCATGATGCCCCGCTGCCCATAGTGAAGAAGAAGCATCTCACCATTGAGCAGCTGAATGCACGGCGACGCAAGGTCTGGCTCACCATCGCTAAAAAGGAGATTCCCAAGGTCCGTATGCACAACCGTGATAAGAAAATGATCGTAAATGAATGCTCACGGATATTCAGTACCATTATTTGAAAGTCCTAATTATCCTGTTATACCTATTTTGCAGACTTTCAAGCAGAAGACGTCTGCTAAGAACTTAGTAATGACCAATGCTAAAAAGGTAAGTTAGGCGAACGCACTACTGTGTTGCTAAAATCAACTTTTAAAGGTGAATTGTAGATACATTTCAACATTTAACCTCTTATTTGTTTGTCCCAGTTGGCTCATCAGTGCATGAGAGAGGTTCGCCGTGCAGCTATCCAGGCCCAGAAGAACTGCAAGGAGACGTTACCCCGCGCTCGCCGCCTCACCAAGGAGATGATGCTTTACTGGAAGAAATATGACAAAGTGGAGAAGGAGCACAGGAAGAGGGCAGAGAAGGAGGCTCTGGAGCAACGCAAACTGGACGAAGAGATGAAAGAAGTAGGTGGAGTGGAAATTGAAACACTTTGCATCCGTATCAGTTTTGAAAACATGAAACGGTTTGAAATTGTAAAGATTTCAAATAGATTACACTGAACATGTTGACAGATGATATAAACGCTGTCTCTCTGTCTCTCGCAGGCCAAGCGTCAGCAGCGTAAACTGAATTTCCTCATCACCCAGACAGAGCTGTATGCTCATTTCATGGGCGGTAAAGCCAGCATGGGGGGTCCAGAAGGGGACATGTCTCAGGAGGAAATTCTGAGAAAGCTGGAAGACACTGCGGCGCACAGACAGATTGACATTGGGGGAGGTGTGATGGTCAACATGGGACAGGAGGACTATGGTATGAACAGCTTAGTCACATTCATTCTGTTAGTGGAGCAGACGAAGTTAGCAACTACATTTTTAAGCTTGGCGTAAGGAAATCTGTTGACCAATCACCCTGAAATATGTCAAATTAAATGGCAAATGTACCAGTTATCATTATATTTATTGCATCTTTAGCTTATTTTTTCTCTTTTTTCATGCTTTTCCCTCCCCACAGTTTGAATGTGCTGTTTAGTAATGAGGATATTTGTGCAGTTAACTACAAAGAAATAGGAGGCAGGTCATCGTTTGTCAACCAGCAGATCACTTATCACTGCCAATTTACAATCCACTGTTTACTAAAGATAACTACAAATATTTGTGTTCTTAATCAGGAAGTACATTGTAATATATCCTTTAATAATTGTTTTGGACTGATGTGACGTGACTAATGTGAGATTTTGTTTTATGCAAAAGCTGATTGCAATGCGATTTCAGATAGCGATTATTACAAGTCCCAGGCCTTGAGGAACGCTAAAGAAGCCTTCCAGATTCATCAAGAGAGAGTACGTTGACGCATGCACACCCTCAGAGGTGCACTCATCCCACACACACACACACACACACACTATACTGTGTACTAATCTCCAAACCTCTCCCTGTAGACGCGGATGTTTGATGAGGAGGCTAAGGACAGTCGCAGCGCGTCTGTACGTGCAGCAGGCTCATCCTCGGGCTCTGGGTTCGGAGAGAGCTACAGCCTCGCCAACCCGTCCATCCATGCAGGTGAAGAAATTCCTCAGCCCACCATCTTCAACGGCAAACTCAAGGGTTACCAACTCAAGGGCATGAACTGGCTGGCCAACCTCTATGAACAGGTACACAAACACGACTATCGGTGACATTCAGAGGCCTGTCTGGGGTGTTTTTTGTGATTTTAATGTTTCATGTTATGCATGAATGCTCTTTTTAGTATTTCTGAATCTATTAGAACAGTTTTGAGTTGTTTTTTTGTTGTTTTACTGTCATTGCAGTTTTTTTTTAGGGTATTCAAATGATTCCCTATTATTATACACTTATTTATACACGCTGAATGACTTATTTTCTCCTTTACTTTCCTCTCTCTCTGCAGGGAATCAATGGAATCCTGGCAGATGAGATGGGACTGGGGAAGACGGTGCAGAGCATTGCCCTGTTGGCACACTTAGCAGAGGTGAGAGAGCGCACCGGGCCAAAGGCTTTCATTCATCACACGCATTTAAAACAGCTTTGTGGAATATTCAATTGTCCGGGCTGTTGTCGCTGACTTACGAAAAAAAACATCACACATCCAGCTTCTTTGTGCACCTGCATCCTTTTCAAGAGTCCCTTGTTTCTGGCTCTGAATTTCATTGACTTGTTTCATTGTTGTGAACAGCTGATTGGCCAGCTCTTTCGATCTTTTGGTCTCAGAACACCCAAAAAGAGAAAAAGCGGAATTTAGGGGAAATGTGTTCCTCTCAGTGTTCTATCGCTGACAGGAAGATTCATGCCGTGTTCCTCCGGGGCTTCCTGTTATTGGGTGCTCACACACACACACACACACACACACACACACACACACACACAAAGACCACCTGCAGTGGCAGCTGACGACGTATTCTCTTGTCTTGTTCCTGCACAGAGAGACAACATCTGGGGTCCATTCCTGATCATCTCCCCTGCATCCACGCTCAACAACTGGCACCAGGAGTTCACCCGCTTTGTGCCCAAATTTAAGGTGAGAATCCTCGACGCTGCCGTGCGAGCGAGCCGGCGGAAACACCTGCAAAAACACGTCCACAGGAATCCTGGCACCCTCATTTTCACTGCTCTCTTTAGTCGTTTACACTCTACAAATGAAGCCGGTGCTGCGTTCCCCATCTGAGAAATAATGAGGATAAAGGGCTCTAAGCTGCAAGCATGTCTATAAGCATCCATTAGGGGGCAGTGTTGTACTAGGACATTGGTAACACTGCAGCTGGTAACAAATGACTCCAAAGCTTTTAACATTTTCATTGTTGAGTGACCGCACTTGTAAAATCTTTTTGCACGTCTTAACCAGCCCCCGACTGGCTGTTTGCAGTCTTGAATGTTAAAAACAAACTATTTATCAAACACATCAATGTGTCTGCGATTCTTGAATGCCCACACACACACACACACACACACACACACACACACACACACCATAATATGAACAGCTCTTTACTGTGCTCAACACTCAACTTTGCCTATTTTCACCACGAGTTTGAAAATAAATCAATTCCAGTCTGTTTTGCTAATGAGGTGTGAAAAGACCCCATTACACAATTTGGCGATAAGCTTCCTGAACACTCAAAGCAAGACTGACTGCAAACAATGGAATGCCAGCGTGTGTTGAATGATGTAATGATGTGTAAATCTTTTCACATCGCATTCTGCATCAACAACTCGGCGGCCGAAGCTGTGATTCATACGTGAGGCCTGAATGTTTCCCCAGGGAATAATCGCTGTTGCTCTGTTTCCACCACATTGCTACGTGTAAATGTTAGCGCTTTGGAGGAGCTTAGTTTGAATGTAGGTTATGTCTGATTCACCGTTTCTCTTGTTTTAACTTATTTTTCCATCAGGTGTTGCCATACTGGGGGAATCCACACGATCGCAAGGTGATTCGGAAATTTTGGAGCCAGGTAAGGGAGTGATGATGAGGATGAACACAGAGTTGTGAAGATACAATGCTTTATTGTATTTGCTCAATAAATGCAGTTTTTTCTTTCCTCTTTTGAACTCCGTCTCTCCCTATGTATGTCTATGTTTCAACAGAAAACCCTTTACACTCAGAATGCACCGTTCCATGTGGTGATCACGAGCTACCAGCTGGTGGTCCAGGACGTCAAGTACTTTCAGAGGGTCAAGTGGCAGTACATGGTTCTGGATGAGGCCCAGGCACTGAAAAGCAGCACCAGGTAAAGCAATAACACGTTTATCGTGTAATACCTAATTCCCAAACGCATCATAGGGTTCCTGTGTGTTAAAATGTGCTCATACCCAATACTTGGTTTATTATACATGATCATCATGTTGGTAGTTTAAAAGACCGTACTGGTGTATTCACACGTTACAGCCCACTTTACGTTTTACAAAGTTTCCCAGAGTTTTATAGATTGATAGTTGCACTGTTCCTACTTTTAGTAATTGGTGTGATTACAGACCTGTTTTCCTCTGTCTTTTTTCAGCGTTCGGTGGAAAATCCTTCTGCAGTTCCAGTGTCGAAACAGACTGCTGCTCACCGGGACGCCCATCCAGAACACGATGGCTGAGGTGAGCTGTCTGTGTGTGTGTGTGTGTGTGTGTGTGTGTGTGTGTGTGTTCATGTGAGTCGGTGTGAGCAGAGACAGAACTGTTGACGAATGTGTGTTATTACTGTCTCTCAGCTGTGGGCCCTGCTGCACTTCATCATGCCTACATTGTTTGATTCCCATGAAGAGTTTAACGAGTGGTTCTCCAAGGACATCGAGAGCCACGCTGAAAACAAGTCTGCCATCGACGAGAGTGAGTACAATGTTCCTCACAGCTGCAGTTTGTTTTTTTTCCTCCCTATTTTCCAGCTCATTTGTACGGATATTCTGTTATTTGAGTGCCAACATTGAACTTTCAGCGTTGTGTGTAATATGCGCTGCAGTTTCACAAGATTGTTTGATGTTTTGTGTTTCAGACCAACTTTCCAGACTGCACATGATCCTCAAGCCTTTCATGCTGCGCAGAATTAAGAAGGATGTTGAAAACGAGCTCTCAGACAAGGTAGGGGAGTGAACTCTCTTCTCCGTTTGCAGAAACAAGATTCTTTTTCTTCATTTAATTGGAGATTTATCAGTTTTCAAATGACAAAAACAGCTTTCATGGTGTCCTCTGAAAGGGATTCAGGTTTTCTGGCGTATGATGGGACAAAATTTCGTAACAATATATTCTGTAAATATCATGTAGCTCTCCATCCGTCTCCCCGTGCGCCTCATTGACACAGAACGTGTTGTAATAAGCATGTGAGCGATGCTTGTGCTGGCAGATCCTCTTGACAGACGTTGGACTCGGTCTCTTTCTGTTACATGAGGCACGCACATACTCGCTCATACGCTGTGGGAGTCTCGATACACAGAGTCAGAAGAATGGCAAGAGTCCACCGCTCCCCCACATCTGTCGTTTTCACTTTCCTTCACACCCAAAATGCAGTCCTGCCAGCCCACGTCCTCCTCTTCATCTTCTTCTTCTCCACCGGTTGCTTTCTCTGCTGGCCAATAGTAACTCGTGGAGTTCACTCGTGGTTCATGGTTGGGGGTTTTTAGGGTTTGTTGACATTCAGTTTCACTGCTCTCATCAAAGCATGACAGCAGATAAAACCAGAGATGTCGATGTGTGTTTTAAGAATGTGGGTCAAGCTGGGCGGGAGGTCTGCATCCATAAATGACTAGCCCATGTGAAAATACAGCGATCTGTGTTCTAATGGAGAGAAAATATCGCAGTAAAGCTGAACAACTCTAACTTTGTAAATCAATCTTTTTACCAACCAGGTCCAGCTGAGAATATTTTCATTCACTGATGTCATAAAACACATATTCCTTTGTTCTCTATTCCTCAAGAAACAAGATGGCAGTGATGATGGTTTGTGTGTATCGGTTTTTACACACTTGTATTCTGCTCTCCCTGCACAGATCGAGATCCTGACCTACTGCCAGCTGACATCCCGGCAGAGGCTGCTCTACCAGGCTCTGAGGAACAAGATCTCCATCGAGGATCTGCTGCAGTCCTCCATGGGCTCGGCCCAGCAGTCCCACACCACCACCTCCTCCCTCATGAACCTGGTCATGCAGTTCAGGAAGGTACGAGCTGTGGCCGGTCCTTTCTGGCTTCCAGGGCAAAAAATTGAATAAAATACAGCTGGATGATTACGGCTATAAAGAGTTATGGTTATTCAGTCAGACGCAGCAGTCTCAATGATTGATTACTGTTATTAGCCCTAATGATTTGAAGATCATTTGAAGTATTATATTATCAAAACTCGGATTTTCAAAGGATGTTCCAAAAGTAATAAAAGCACTACATTTTATGAGTGGGAATAAAATACGAGATGTACAATTAAACAACGAATTGGCAGTCTTAGAACAAGCACAAGCATGAGTCGTGCTGATGCCTGTTTTTCCTTCTAGGTACACTAACTGTGTGTGTGTGTGTGTGTGTGTGTGTGTGTGTGTGTGTGTGTAGGTGTGTAACCACCCTGACCTGTTTGAGCGCCAGGAGACGCGCTCTCCTTTCCACATGTCCCTTAAGCCCTACACCATGTCCAAGTTCCTGTTCCGTCATGGCCTCATCCACGCACACAACCAGGCCAGAAACAAGTAAGCTAGTTCACAAGTCTTTGCTGTCTTTGCACATTTGCTGATCCTAACTATAGCTATTAACACTCACGTTGTGGGTCAGACTGGAATCCGATAATCATCCCAAAGTCTCTTTTGGGCTCTTTTCACATTCAGTGGTGTAACTCGATCTGTCTCTACTTCCTCCTCAGATTACTTCAAGTGCTGTTGTCTCCCTTCTCCCCAAATCACATCCAGCAGTCTCTCTTTCACAGAAAAGGTGAGCACGTATGAAGCGTTAAATTTAGACACACAAATAGAACCAGGAGTTTCAAACCTCAGATACACCCCAGTGACTCCCCTCTCCTCCTCCTCCGATGTTTACATCCTTCCTTCCTATTCTCCCTGTTTGTTATCTCCATAGATGTACTTATTTACTCATATCCTTCATTCTATGTTCTGTTCTTACCCTTCCAGGTGATGACAAAGGAAGCTGTTTCTCCTTCCTGCGCTTCATCGACGTGTCACCGGCTGAGATGTCCAATCTCATGCTGCAAGGAACCTTAGTAAGGTAAGCTTTAAGTATCAATCTTCATATCTGTTAGATGACTAATAATGTCCAACTTCATACAGCAGTTATGGTGATAGCAAGTTATTCTATAGAAATTATTTTTGTAATTTAATTTCTCCCCTCCTGCTATTTTCTTCCACAGATGGTTAGCCCTTTTTCTCTCGCTCAAAGCTGCATATCGGCTCCACCATCAGCGCCTCTTCGGCCTTGAAGGAGAGGGTCAGGAGGAAGCCAGAGACTCGCAGGTGGGGAGGGGGGGGTTACAGCCCCTGTCTCGCAAGGACCTAATTCTGTGGCTGAACAGACCCACCAATTTCCCAAACACGCACACCAGCCCCGTTGTACAGGTGAGAAAAACCTACAAGACACACACAGTCGGACTAAAATCTCTATACAAGAAGCATGCGGTACATGTGGGTGTATGACAGACAGGAGGAAGCAGTGAGACATGTGCTGCTGACGATGCTGAAATGTCCCCCAGAGCATCAGCCAGTGTTTGACCACACAGCTTGCTCTCTGCCCCGGGCTTCTTGTCCGTCCTCTGGGATCCAGCGTGGAACCCAATCCCTCTGTAGCCCCGTGACCCAGTGACACTGTCCTCCCTCTGTATGCCTCCAGGGCGTGTGCAGCAGAGCGGCCGCCATCTTTACTTCTACTGTCACAGAGGAAAGTCACATTTTTCAAGATTAAAAGATGGAATCCATTCTGTTTTTTTATGCTTTTTGCAGCAGAAGTTTGAGATATGGATTAGTTAAATGGCATTCATGTGGCACCGCATGATTTGGAATGAGTGGTACATTGCAGTCTGTAATGTTTCCGTAACTCAGGATAAATGCAGCACACCACACTTCTTCTCGACTTCACTCAAACGCTTTCATACGTGTTGGATTCTGCAGCTCAGAACCACAGGGTTACATTCGAGACGGCCCGTATTTTGTATTATTTGGCAATATCGAAACATAATTGTTGGTGGGGAGGAGACGGCACAAAGCAAAGGTGCCAGTTCAAATACACAGGCCGCCTCTACAGACTGTGAGCAGCTGCAGCCTTGCAGATACACTGCGTTTGAGTCATTCTTCTAAGCTACAAAAAACAAAAGCATTAAAAACACATCCCATTAAATCTTTCACCCGGTTGACAGTTACCCGTCGGCAGATACGCATCGCATTACCATCCTCCACCAATTTCGAAGTTAACTTGTTGGGTGGAAAATGTTGTCGGGGTAATTCCATCCTCCTCTTCCTCTCTTGGCTTCACCCCACGGAGTCAGGCAGCCGTCTTAGGTTCCCCCCTGGAGCGGCTTAAGGAATGAAAGGCCAGAAAAATCTAAAAGAGAAAACAGAAAAAACACCTGGAGAGCTGATACTGTATGACCATGCGGACCCCCTGACTCCTGCTTTAAGCTTCTAGAAATGACCCACTCCCACAGTTTTGCCTCTTTCAGCTCCTCACATTTCTTTTGAAGCCGTGTGTAGCTGGCGCCCGCCGCCTCTTCTCTCTGCTTGGCTCACCTCTCTCTGGCTGTGTACTACACAGTGTGGTCAGCATTGCTTTCAGCTTCCCCGCTGCTCCTGTTGAGGATCAGAGAGAACCGGGCAGCTCTGAATGCCTCCATAACATGTTTTTCTCATATAACTTTAACGGTCTCTCTGACTCAGTCTCTCCTTCTGTCCAGCCCAATGTGAAAGGCTTCTTTCAAAACCTTTTTTTTTTACAGTGTGATTATGTTGTTTCTTGCCATCTATCAATCATGCGTCTTAAAACGACCGTACATGACCGCACTCTGGAGCTCTCACACAGTAGAGCTCACTGGCAACATAGTTTCTAAATCTGTTACTGTTTGTGAAGAATCATTCTCCTATTTGTCCAAAGTAAGTAAAACGAAAGGAAAAACAAATGTAAAATACGAATCACCTATTTTGGCCACGCATATGGCCACAGTATCTGCTTTGGTGTGTTTATGAGCCTGGCTCTAGAGGATGTCATTCTACACACTCTGCCATTAGATGGCACTGTGGATCCACCGTTTGTGTTGCGTAACACAGTAACATATGCATGACTCTTACAGCGCCTACCACTGCGTTATACACATGAATTATCCATCATTATGTCTTTGCTTGAAATGCATGTATAATACATGTATGTGTGTGCAGGAAAGATGACCTGATCAGTCGTGCCCGTTAATCCTGTGACATACTCGACTAAAATCATATAAGCTGCATAATCATAGATTTAACATAACATTTTAAGCACTTAGTTGACACTTTATATAACCTTTCAGGCATGTAGCCAAAGAAACCTAAATACCATTGGAGCAGTTAATAAAAAAAACATCATTAATCTCTGTAGCATTCAGTTTGTTTACCTTTTTGCAGCACCTCTTACTTTTGCTGCCCATTTTTTATGACTCCTATAATTTGAAGACACTGTTTTCTTTAATTGCCCACTTTGTCATAAATCGAAGCAGGAATAAGTTCAGCAGGAGGTGGGAAATCGATTGTCGTGTTTTTTTTTTAAAATTACTATCAATTTAATAAATTTCTCCACTCGGATGTAATCACTGTATTTGTAAAGTTTTGGCCGTAATGCAACAGGATAGTAATATTCTGTTTGTGTGTGTGTGTGTGTTTGTTTCAGGACCTGGTGTTCACAGCCTTAAGACCCGGCATGATGGGACACACAGACGTGACCATCCACAGTCGAAACTCTTCCACCTCTACGCTGCGGCCCTGCCAGCTCACACTGCCACCCAAGTTCCTGCTAGCCGCCACGCCCAGGGTGAGTGTGTGTGTGTGTGTGTGTGTGTGTGTGTGTGTGTGTGTGTGTGTGTGTGCTGACCCGTGCAAGACAGACAAGCGTTTGGGTGGTCGTGGAAAGGGAAGAGGGACGCGCTGTGCACATTGCATTTTGTAGGCTTTCAACAATGAGCACCTCTTATTTGTGTGTGTGTGTGTGTGTGTGTGTGTGGTTGGGCTGTGGGGGCGACCGCTGTGGCTTCCAGCTGCATTTAAAACAAACAGAGTCTAAAAAAAGGGGGTTCTTGCTCAACCAGTAGTCAAGCTTCCTCTTGCCCCCCTCCTATACACACACACACACACACACACACACACACACACAGAACCTGCTGATTCAGTGAAATCAGCCTTCATGCAGTGACTTTCCCTCTATCCCTACTCAAGTATAAATCTAGGTGGTACACATGCAAACAGAAGCAAATGTTTTGACTAACACAAATATATTGCTCAGCCAGAGTATTAACATACACGCTTGAAACACATTATCCTAAAAATCTTCATTCTCCCCACCGCACAATATTTTCTTTTGTTTCATATGCAGACAATCCTCATCTTTCTTTTTTTGTTTCCTAGGTGACAGCAGTTCCCATGGAGCGTTATTGTGACGACCGCAGTGCCGAGTACGAGTGGCGGCTGACGCGCAGCGGAGGGGGCGCGGTGTTCAAACAGTGTTTCCTCTACGGCTCCCCGGAACTTGCTTCTGACTGGCTGGCGAGGGCCAATGCTTTCCACCCACAGTGCCCCGGGGGTGTGATGGCCCTCTACCCGCGGCATGGATGGTCCTCCATCCGGATACCCGGTAAGGACTTTGTGTGTTTGTGTGTTCTGTTATGTGGTTGCTTTACTTTGAGTTCTCGCCGGCGTGTTTTTATCGGACAGGTGTGCAGCTTTGCTGTAGCTCGCAATGGCCAACTTTGATGCTATGTAGCTAAAGGGTAACGCATAAATGAGCGTCTGCTAGTGACATCAGCAAATGACTACCTTAAGGCCGAAGTAAATAAAGCAATTTGTGCCTGTTTGTCCGTAGCAGCAGCCTGCATTGCTGTGGGACTTGCTAAAACTTAATGGAAACTGTGTCATAAATACAAATGATGCTCTCTGTAGAAATCCAGGTTTTGACTGAAGGGTGAACTAGGGGCCCGTGGGAGAATCGACAGAGGCCAGCCCGGGGTCAGCGGGGCCAAGCCGGGGACATCTCCCTCATCTGTCTCTGCTTGTCAGTCCACCAGACAGCCGATCCCTCGCCGCCTAGTGGAACTGCTTAGATAAAAGGCTTCTGTAGGAGTTCACTCGCATTAACGCACACCGGCGATTTCCATTAAGGTGTGAATACGGGGCCGTGTGTGTGTGTGTGTGTGTGTGTGTGTGTGTGTGTGTGTGTGTGTGTGTGTGTGTGTGTGTGTGTGTGTGTGTGTGTGTGTGTGTGTGTGTGTGTGTGTGTGTGTGTGTGTGTGTGTGTGTGTGTGTGTGTGTGTGTGTGTACGTGTGCTCACAAGCCTTTATCGGAGGAGCTCGGCTTGTCGAGTCGAGGGTCAACTGCAGCAGAGTGGGAGCTGATTTGCTGCCAGGGCTCAGATGACTGATGGATGTCCAGGGTGAGAGAGGCCATTAGAGTTTTACAGACAACACTTCCCTTCTCACTGACCCGCTCTGCGTCTGATAAACTGTCTCTGTCATGGATTGTGATGACTGCTCTTTTTTTTTTCTTGTTATGTGTGGCAACAGACAGAAAATGGATGCGTGTGTCCTTTTTTATGCTTGATAAGCCTGCAATACACTCATTTTGTCGGTTTAGGTACTTTACGACGCAACGTTAACATCCCTAAACGTCCCACTCTCTCACAGATTGCAATAGTAATGCAACGTAATGCTTTTTTTTTTTCTTCTCCTGTGCATACATGTGCTTGTGTGAGAGTGTTTGTGTGTAAAAGTGAGAAACCAAACAAGTATTTGCGTGTCTGTGTGAGAACCGTCTCGAAAGCTCTTGTGAAGTTATACGGAGGCAGACAAAGCGAGGAAGTTTAGCTACTGGTCATTGTTCAAGTGCTTAGTTAGGTAACACTAATAGATGGTCCGTCTGTGTGTGTGTGTGTGTGTGTGTGTGTGTGTGTGTGTGTGTGTGTGTGTGCGTGCACCATCGGGTCCATTCAGGGAATTGCACAGCACTCACACGGGGGCCTGAGGTGTCTCTCACCTCTCCCCCACACACTCTCCCACGCTCGGCGGCCTTTATTCACATGCCCGCCCGAGGACAAGCTTCACCTCCGTCTCTCCCGCTAACAGACAGGACCGGGCGCTGATCTGAAATCAGTATCTGGCCGCGGCCTCTCGGTCCGTCTGGTCTCCAACTTGTTTCTCAGCCTCGGTAGGAAGGAAGTGACCCAACGCGCCGGCACCCGTCCTCCGCCGAACACATTGTTGCCACATCAAGGCCCAGATATGTACAGTAGCCCGGCTGAAGTTTCCCACCCTCCCCCCCCTCTGCACTCCCAGCCCCACACCTTTTTTAGAACAAATGGCAGAGCTGAATGACTGTTTGTTTTGAGCGCCATGGCGTGAGTACGGCTGCCCACTGATATCGACAGAGGAATCTAATCAGAGGACTTATTAAGAAGCCGTCGAGGAGGAAAAAACAATCGAGGCTGGAATGTCTTGAACCTCAAATGTATTTGTTTCTGATGTGATAGCAGAATTCCCCTTCAGGAAACATATTTTTCATTCTAAAAAAGAATGAACTGTCTTCTCTATGCTCATGATATCGACGATTATGTGCACCTGATCGCAGAGAAAGCAAGATGCATGCTGGGTAGTATCGGCCATGAAGTGAACTAGCCACCAGGACAGGAGAAGAGGGTTTTGACTATAACCACAGAGACATTCCAGACTTGTTTGTTCTGCGGTCGTCTCTCTTTCGCTCTCCGGAAAACCTCACATATGGACAAATTTCCTGCCGAGAACTGTTATGAGTCAGGTTAAAGATTAGCTTGAAAGGAAATCGTTTTTTGCGTGCTGTAGGATTATTTGCAGAACATTCCAGAGTGACACGGAAATAACCTTCCTTGCTGTCCGTGTGGCCCTTGCGTCGCTTTCAGTAATTAGAAGGGACCGTTCCATGAAATGACAGCCTTCTCACTATAGCGCCGACTGTTGGCCCTCTTTCTACCTTTGTTGTGAGCTGGAAAACGACCACCGCTGCTGCGGAGGAGGAAGAGGAGGGTATGTGTGTGAAGGACTTTATTTCTGTGCGTCTTGTTGTGCAACTTGTTTTTACTGACTGTGTTTGAATGCACGTCTGTGTATCAATCAGAGTATGAGAGAGAGAGAGAAAGAGAGAGGCCCACATCAGGCTGTGGGAAATGCAGTTCTGCCTTCCTGTCCCTTCAAAGAAACTCTGCTCTCCAGCAAAATGGCAGGAAGCTTCCCCCGGCCCTCCGACAGACAGGCACAGAACAACACAGACTGCCAGCCTCACCGCACCACCGTCTGACTCTGCCCCTCTCAATGTGCATTAAAACTGGCACCGGTTACCGTCTGTGGAATTCGGCTTTTCGTTTTGGCAGCAGAGAGAGAAAAGAAAGAAAACATTCAGCCAAGTGTGTAAAGGGATAGCGATTTGTTTTGCTTTCCGCGTCCAACTTATGCCTATTAATGTGTCCCACAAGATGGAAAAGCGTGTTCACTGCTTCTTTAGAAACTTGAGTCCCAAAGTAGACTGAAGGGGGAGACATTAGCCACGTTATACCTATATGATGATACCTTTGAACATGGAAGCCAACTCTCCCCCGTCTCTCTCCCCATCCAGCTTTCATCTGTGGTGTGTGTCGAGTCAGCGCTGGCCACGGGTAACTCGCAGTAATCTATCTTAATGACAGAGTTCACAGTGGGCTGCTGTGGTGTGGTGAGATTGCCCCGCGACTGTCTGTCTCTTCCCCTGCTTAACGACTCCTAGAGGAACCGAGAGAAGTGCTCCCCTTGCATATTTGAACGGAGACCGTGATGCATTAACAAACATGTTCCATATATACACACACACACAGATGTTTGTCATTTGGCTCTTCTGCCGATACCGTGCTGCAGACATATCTTTTATTTTGTTTAGCATCTGTGAAGCGTCACCGAGCCCTAAACAAGAAGCTAAAAATCTCCTGCTCTCTGTCAGCCCACTTTGCATCCAAAACCTCCCCGCTGGCATCTGGCTCTTAGCTATACTGATGCTGTCGCCACGAGGAAAATTAAGTTTGAGTCTGGTTTTTGTCAATACATGCAGAAGCAGCAAAGTAGTGTCAGGCTAATATTTCCATCATCAGCGGTGCTGAACAAGTGTTGCCCATTGACTTATTGATTGCACAGTGTAATGTATCATTATACAGTGAGGGGCTGACGCTCCAGTCGATCTCTGATTCGACCTGCTCCGTGGCCCCCCATCTGTCTCTCTTTCTCACATAACCATCCATCTATCTTCTTTCATCAGCTCTTGACTTTTTTTTTTTTTGCTGCTGCTGTTCGTCTCCTCCTTTTCGATCGCATCTGGTCCGCTTCCCTTCCTCCGGTTTTTTGGGGCGGCTCGGCTTTTGGCAGCAGCAGAGGGGACAGGACAGGACAGAAGATTGTAGCGGCGCATTAATGAAATTAGCGCCGTAGTTGGTTTGGGAGTATCAGGCGCCAGGCACCGGGGCTGGGCCGGGGTTAATTAGCTGGCAGCAGGCCTCTAATTGGGTCAGGACCGTGTCAGGCCCCTGGCTCTGGCCCTACAGGGATTGGATTACACTGTCGGGGGACAGACAGCAGGGGGAGGGAGAGAGGGTGTATGGGGGGGGGGGTTGTAGTGGCGGAGGAGGGAAGGGAGGTTCGAGAGGGAGCTGGAGGGTGCAGTGGAAAAGGGGGGAGAGAGGAGGGACAGGGGAGTGTAGCTTAATCTGCCAGCAGGAGGTACGGAGAGGAGGCGGCGATGGGGAGGGCTGGCCGGGTGAATACCGCAGTTAGACTGGATTGGATTTAGGCGGGGCAGGTGGTGAAGCTTGATATGTGTATCCATAGCAACAGCAGAGTGGTGTGACACCACATGGGATTTGCTTGTGTTTTGGGGTGTGGTCTCAACGCAGTCCTGGTCCTCGTCAGTCCACAATTATAAAGTTGTTGTTTTTGTCTTTTCTGGTTAAAATTCTGGATGTAATAACAATCAATAAGACATTATGGAGACGTGGGGGATGGGGACACCTTGATATCTGATGCTTATCCATTATGTGTTATCCATTTCGGTGCATTTGAATCCACATTTTATTTTACCGCTCACGTATTCAGAAAAGGATCCCAAATGTTCTGCCGTTTGGTTTACATGTGAAGTGTTCTCAGGCCGTTAGCTTCATATCATGAGACTGCGTTGACTGATTTTGACTGATATTGACTAATATTCAACGACTCTTGAAGGCCAATTCATGTTAAGCGCCTAACGAGTTAGATGTACAGACGTTTTAATCCTTCTAAAGGCTCCATAATTCATGTTACATGAATGGTTTATTGCATCCAACGGCCATGCATTTCACTGCAGCCACATGTAGCTTGTAATGTGAGCCATAAGTGTTACGTTGGAACGAGACGGACCTCCAAAGCCCTCCCGAAAATCCCAATTATTCATTTTCTTGGCTTCGCTTCGATATTTAGAAATAGGGATTTTCTATATGCAGCTCTAAATGTTTTGACCTCGGCCACCTCTCTCTCTGTAAAGCCACATCGCTGGGATTTAGGGAGTTGCAGGGGCAGAGACGGCCTCGCCATTTCTGTTGGACATCTGTTTCCCTGCTCTCCTTTGATAAGGTAGCATCTTTCTTTGTTCCACTCAGTTCTCTGTTGGCTAAAAGCAACTGCGTTTCAAATATGTTAGTGATCAGATGGTTCCCTCAGCGTGAACAGAAAGATCAAAATGTAGGAGCAGTCATCAGCGTAGTCCAATGTCACACAGTGGCTTTCTTAAAGAGCAGCTCTCCTATTAATGGCCGCCTTCATAATCCAGGCATAAACAAAAGGATTACCCCGGCTGACATGTCTCTTAATACAGAAATAATAGTATCTAACTGCTTAAGATGGGATTTTCAGATTTACAGTTTTTACCCTTCAAGAATGAGATTAAATACATACCGTTCAGCCCTGTTTGGCCACAGAAATCCTTAGATAGGAGCTTCAACCCTTCTCCAAACATGCCATAGGAGTCTGGAGGCTTAAATGCATAATCTGCTAGAAACGGATTGGTGGCAGCTCTTGAGCAATATTGCCGTATATAAGCATTTTCCGTCTTTGCCAAGTGGTGGTTTGCATCTGGGCGGTTGGTATCGTGGCCCACAGCACTGTCTGGTGCCCTTGACTGAGCAGCGGCCCTTGGTTCGAGTGGCACCTGTGGTGAGGGCCCCCCGAGTCTGAATTTAACCACAACATCGGCGCCGCCACCGTGCTAATACCAGCCCGCTGCAGCCGGAGCCACCGCAGACCTCCTTCACTCTCCGTCTGGACCTTTTTCCTTCACCGCACACATGTCTAATCCTCCGCACGTCTCACGCTCGCTTCCTTCTACTTTTCGGCTGCCCCACTTTCTCGACGCCATGGCCAATTATAGGTCTTTGATGGCGGGATACAGCGTTTGTGTACCTCAGGGAGTGCAGTGCGCTGGTCTCTTGGTACATACCGAAATGAGCCACAGCAATCTGAAACAACTGCATACCTAGTAAATCTATGGTTATGTTGGATCTGGTTCAGATTTAGTTCATTGTCTCTTGCTAGCAGTGTGTTTTAAGTATCTTTTATTATCCCCTATGTCCATTTTCCCTTCTTTTCCTCCACCTCTCGTCCTCTTCGTTCATTTCATCTCAGCTATTTTTATTTACTCTGAGGACTGACAACAGTAGTGAAAAGCACTTTGTCCGTAATACACCAGTTGTGTGGAGGAAAACCAAACATGTTGATTCAGAAGTCGTCCTGTCAACACTTGGGGGCTCTAGGACTGTGTGACAAGGCTGACACCACTCCACAGTGACCTGTAGGTGAGCTCTCCAACACTTCCCCAGAGTGTTTCCCCTGTTCATCTCTTCTATTAGTTCCTCTTTAACACCTCTACAGGGCCTGACCTTTTTTTTTTTTTTTTTGGTGGGGGGGGGGGGGCAATACTAAAGTGTCACAGGTCAGGGTTCAGTCTGAGTACACATTAGCATAGAATGCTACTGGTTTAAATAGAGAAAGATCCAGTTTGTTGGATCATGGAGCATACTTTAGCGCATGTTATTGTTTTTACGCAATGATTTCTTATCCGGGTTTTACACGTATTGTTGTAGGAAGTTGTCATATTCATGTATTATCGCAGCCTCAGTTCTGACCGTGTGTTTTGGATTAATGGAACGGCATTTTAACGCGGTTGGTTACATTACGTTGACAAAGCAAGGAAACAGGACAGGGAAATATTTAGAAGCCCAGGTTTCGGCTATACAAAAGGGGCTTGGGAACAAGTGTCCAACTGGTGTGCGAGACGGCCGAGCCTGACTCTCCCACAGGGACTCTCTTGTAACCCCAGGCCCCGACCCCGTCACCCGACCCTGGACCCGGCCCGAGGTTCTCCTCACTCCGGGTCACGACCCCGTGGTCAAACACCATAGTGTGCCTGTTGCCCGGGTCGATGGCGGCCCCGGCCCTTTTCTCATTCTGCCATTGTGCCAGATGACGTTAATTCCTCATCAGCTGGACGTGGAAGGAACCACTTGAACAGCAAACCCTGGATCGGATTGCTCTCCATGGTCTTTTGAGGGCCGAAGAGCACCTGATGTGGTGTTGGCAGTGACGTGACCGAGGCCAACTGCAATGGACTATTTGTTTGTCTTTTGTGCCATTGTGTGAGATGGAGTGTAAATCACTTTTTCTCACAATTTCTCTCTCCTTCTTGTTCTTTCTCTTTCTCTCTCTCTCTCATTCTCCATCACTCTCTCTGTGCTCTCATCAGCAGTCCAGTCAATAAGGGCACATGCTTTATTTAAACAATCACCAGATTAGAGACAGATTTAGGAGTATTGATCCCCAGGCTGATCCGCTCTGGTGAAAGGGTCTTTATCCTGGAGAATAGAGTCTTATTGAAGACTTGTATTGATTAGGGAAGAGTTAATAACCTCTGAATTGATAGGGCTGCTTATCTGTATTCTGCCAGTAAGCAGACATATTATGAAAGATGTCAAGTAAAAACAATACATTGGGTAATAAAGGAAAAGATTGACACGACACTTGGACACAAGAGAAAGGCATTTTTAACAATCTCACCGTGTCAAATGCATCTCGTCATTTACTCGCGGTAGTTTGGGTTTTCACGTCTTTTTGTCTCTTCCTCTTCTAGATAAGGAGAGCCTGATCACGGAAAGTGGAAAGCTCCACACCTTGGATATCCTGTTGAGTCGGCTAAAGACCCACGGACACAGAGTCCTCATCTACTCCCAAATGACCCGCATGATAGACCTACTGGAGGTATGAACACACACACACACACACACACACACACACAACTACCACTAATCAATTCCTAAAAAGGAAAAAATCTTGCTCTCTGAAGACACACCTTTAATTTGTCATTTGCATATATACCCGTGTTGCTCCGAGCCAGTTGTTGAACTGGTCAGCTTCCACTAGCGAGGCATTGAGCTCCAGTACCTCTAATCAGCCTGCCTGTCCCTCGTTAGCGGACTCATTAGATGGATAATTAACAGGTCAGGGCTAATTAGCGGGGTCTCATCTGCAGGGGGAGGCAGCCAGATGGGAGGGATGACTGGAAGGAATGAGGAAAGAGGCGAGGTGGAGGCTAGAGGGGCCGATGGGAGTGGCATGGCCTTGGGGTTAGAAGAGAGAGACATTCTGCAGAAGACAAAGGTCGTTTTTAGAGAGGGAGAAAAGAGGGGAACAAACGAGGAAAGATCGACATAAAGCCAGAAATAAAAAACTCCAGGGTGTTTTTGGGGACTTTTATTACTTTTATCTACAGAGGAGAAGTAATCTAAGCTGCATTGATGGGCACAAAGTCAACACCGATACGTCATCATATTGTTGAGGTAATTTATGAACAAAGACAACCACTGCATCAAACACAGAGGCACTGTCTCTGTTTAACATCCTTGGCTAGCTGTAATCCGTTTCGAAGTCGGGGGCAATCGGGTTTAAGTTAAAATAATTTGTAAAATCTGAGTCACCGCACTCTGAAGGAAAAGTAATGACTCAAAGCAATTCTGCCGGTGACCATGTGTCGACAGCAATAGACTATTGTTGCCTCTGTAGTTGTTTCAAACATCATGGTGGAGCCAAAAGCCTCTGGCATGATGTCACTGGGAACTCCTTCCCCATTCACACGGTGCGGTTTAATTCATACAGGAGGATACAAAAAACGAGCTTTAGCATGTGGAGATATTAAATGACCTATATCTGATACAGGATTTTGGCCGGACTGATAGGGTTAATGTTCTTCTCACAGACTGCCCCACCAAGGTATGTTCTCCAGGTCTAATGAGGCAATGTTACAGTAGAAGTGACCTCATACAGTCATGTGGGGCTGTGACAGCGTCTCCTTTACTGCTGGGTTAAAGAGATTCACGAATGAAATCATGTATTCTCCCACTCTGGCTTCAGTTTTCCTTGATCATATCATCTTTCTCTTCGGTCGGGGATAAAGATTCTGCAGATGGAGTTGATTTTCTTTGATTTTGAGTGTGAAGGAGAGGCTGATGCTAATCTCCATCATTAGCGTCATTGTTTTAGTCGCCGGTCAGCCGTCCCAGTCTCTTCTGGTGACACCGCGTAGTCGGATGATGGATCGCTGAGGTCCGGGTGGCCTGACGAAAAAATAACATTGTCGAATTTCTCTGGCAGCAGCCGATAGTGGAGCAGGACCGCCAAGTCGCTGCCCTCCCCGCTTGAGTTGTGTTTCTGCGGCTGCTTCGACAGCGCTGCTTAGATTGCAGTGCGGGCGAGAATGCCCACAATGACTCAGAGAATCAGCAGCAGAGTTTTGTTTATGGAGTGGGATACAGTGACCCATTACGCAATTCAAAGCATGGATGAGACTGTGACTGTTTTATGATACATTCTGACTAAATACAAAGAAGTAGTGTGCATTAAGAGCCACGTCATAGGGATCATGGGCAGTGGAGTTTTATTTTTCGTGAATGTTAACTTGGAGGCTCTGATGGATGGATAGTGTTGCTAGTTATCAGACTTCGTGCAGCTCCCTTTGGAGTTACAAAAGGCTTCATACAACTTGTTCCTACTCCTCAAGACCTGTAAACAGACTTTGAGTCCATGGCTGGTAGAATAAGTTGGTATTGTTTATGTTATGGCACTGAAAGCAGTTATGACACACTGATGTGAAATGCAACACACCCAACATTGGCAATCTACACTGTTTGTGCTGGCAAACATGTACCCATAGTGCCACACTTACATGTTCTTTTCTCTTTATGAAATATTTTTAGCGTTTGGGAGTCGAGTTGGGAACAGACTGTTCACTGTGACACTATGTTCCAAATCTGAGAACCGCAATAAATACACACTGTGTTTCTTGACTTCGGGGGCTCGTTATTGTTTGGGAAGTTGAGAACAAACTGGCTGCCACGCCATGCTTTTTTAGTTTTTTTGCACATCCAAGTGCCAACTCTGAAGGTTTTAAGTACATTTGAGCAGAGGCATAATATTAGATGGAAAAGAGGAAATGCTGTCATGCTTTGTAAACTGTTCTCCCATGCCTCTCTCCTCCCATACATCATTTCAAGTTTGTTGTCGTTGTCAGACACCACAGCCATAAAGATTTTGTATGTTCTATAATAGGCTGCTGACAGGTGGTTGAACAAGATTAACATTCTGACCAGTTAAAGGTTGAACGTTCCAATGAAACGCGTTACAAAACCTGTGAAAAACTGCAGAAATGAAGCCGTGTCACTTATGATTAACACCAACCCAAACAAAATACCAGAGAAAATTGCCAGCTGTTGAGGTAAAGGTTTCAGTGTGGCAGCACTCTCTGAGAAAGTCCACACCAGGACCCGACGAGCTTTAAATCATGTCGGCGGAAGGTTGCAAAGATTGTAACAGACTCACGTCTGAGAGGCCTCAGATCTACTTCTGAAACCTTTTTTTTTAAGATTAGGAAGGCTGAGTAAGGACATTCTGTAAGAGCAACAATACCCGCAACATCCTGCTGGCAAGCCATCAAAACCCAATTCAACAAGGTTAGCAGCATTTCGGCGAGCGCCGGGCTAATGGTCCCTAATGTAGTGTTCACTCGGAGCAGATGGGGCTGCTGGAACAGAGCCAGGAGGGCAAGCCCTGCCGGGACTGAGGCCCCGAGAGTCATGACAGGGGTTGGGAGGGTCACAGAAAACATACCGTCAAATCATGGATATCGTTGTGAATGATTGCGAGGGGTGAGTCGTGATGTGCGCCAGTATTTGTGGCTGGTTCATGGGTTTTAGGGGCACTGACATGTTTGAGTGAGAAGGTCGGGGGTTCAGGGCAGTGCTTAAAGAGAGATCAACATGTCACCTCATCACTGCTGTTGCACTTAAAGAACCCCTCCCTTCAGACCTAACACCCACCCACACACACACACACAGCTTAGCAGACATTTGGGGGGATTGAGTATCAAATTCTGCATTTCTCAGTGTCTCTCTGGGCTGGGAAAGAGGTTTCAACTCCCTTAAATGTGCATAAGAAATGTGGGATTTTGATATGTTGGAGTCAAAGTTTCTGTCAGACTGAACTTCTTACATTGAAGATTAGTATTTCTCAGCAGGTAGACCTGCAGGGCTTATCTGCTCCTCAGAGAAAGACTCAAGTAGCTGTGCATGTTTGAGATTAACTTCAGAAAAAACATTTTCAGATTCCTGTTTCTTCAAGTTTTGGATGCCGAAAGGTTTTAGGTTCGTTGGGTTCAAAATGAAAACTAAAGGTGATCCAGGAAGGTCTAGTTCAAATCCATGAATTCAAAAACCTTATTCATGAACTCCATGCAGCACTGGATCCAGTTATTTTTATTAAAGCAGTTTTAAAAGTAACTGATTGTATATGACAACTTATCTACAGCAAACATTTTCTAATATTTCAATCTTTGGAGACACTGAACTGGGACGGCACTACACCGACTTCTGGCAAAACAAAAGAATGAATGGGGGGGATAAGTTCAACATCAAATAATTGTGTCATCGGTTTTCTCATTTATGTTCTCCCGTCTCTCCAGGAGTACATGGTTTATCGTAAGCACACCTACATGCGGCTCGATGGATCGTCCAAGATTTCTGAACGCAGAGACATGGTGGCTGACTTCCAGAGCCGGTGAGTAAAGGTGTGTGTGTGTGTGTGTGTGTGTGTGTGTGTGTGTGCGTGAAACCAAACACCGGCTTTTTGACACTAACTAACTGTCAATCCGCTATTTTGTATATTGCAGCAATCAGCGAATGGTTTAATCTTACACGCGTACGTCCAAATATGTTTGTGCGTGTATTTCCTCGTGAGTCCACATGGTTTACATTAGTGTTCAGTTCTTGGCTTGGTGTGTGGGGGGGGGGGGGGTGTAGGTGTAGGAGTTTGTGGTTTGTCGACCACTCTACTGTTGGCATCAAGTACACGTTTCATTTCAGTTTTGCTGACAGCCTTAAAGTTCGGAAGTGACATTTTTGACATTGTAACTTAATTTTGTGCCATGATACTGTATATGGATATTTGTACTTGTAAATGATATCTTTCCATTTTGTGTGCCCTCCCCCCTGTCTTCCCCCTCTGCAGGACGGACATCTTTGTCTTCCTGCTGAGTACGAGGGCTGGAGGGCTCGGCATTAACCTGACCGCTGCTGACACTGTGAGTCACCGGAAAAACACATCGATACAATAGCGAAGCTTAAACTCTGCACATATCTCCTGAATAATGCAGTGAACATTCCCTGCCAAGTTCTTTTCTTTTACTGACAGAGCCATGAAGATAGTTTGTGATGACCAGTGTTTCAGCATCAATAATATGTAATGACTATATAGTGTGCGTGCGTGCATTGCAGGGGGTGATTATTCATATAGAAATGATGATCTTTCTCTGTGTTTATAGCATCTCTCAGCATACTCTCCCTTTGTGTCCCTAAAGCCCTGTTCAAGTGGGATTAGCTTTCATGACAATGACTTTGAAGTGAATGTTAACACGGGACATCTGTCTCGTTAAAGCGGCGTTCACTTGGGATAACACATTCCTCGTAATAGCTCCCAGGAATTACAGAGAAGGGGAGTGTCCGCATCGTGTCCGGCCTGTCGTCGGTAAACGATAAAAATACAGCAGAGGGAAAAAAAAAAGTAAAGTTGAGATGCTTTCCTCCAGGTCATCTTCTACGACAGCGACTGGAACCCCACGGTGGACCAGCAGGCCATGGACAGAGCTCACAGGCTGGGTCAGACCAAGCAGGTCACCGTCTATCGACTCATCTGTCAGGGGTCCATCGAGGAGAGGATCCTGCAGCGGGCCAAGGAGAAAAGCGAGGTCTGAAACGCAAGCACTCAATCAGCCAGCGCACAAAATATGACAAATTCCAGCAAAGCAATAGAGTAAACAACACAAGTAAATGACTACATTATTTGTTTTTATGTAATAAGATCCAAAGGGTGGTGATCTCTGGAGGCAACTTCAAACCAGACTCACTCAAACCCAAAGAGGTGGTCAGCCTGCTATTGGACGACGATGAGCTGGAGAAGAAACGTGAGTATTTTAGGCATCTTTGTCTTCATTTAATTCAGTTTTCTTTGCTCAAAAGCTGATCCTCAAAAAAACGAATAACAAAGCCATTGTGTCTTCTCCTGTAGTGCGTCAGAGACAGGACGAGAAGAGGCAGGTGGAAGAGTGCAGCAAGGTGAAGGAGCGCAAGAGGAAGAGGGACAAGTACGCCGAGAAGGTACAGCACAACGCGATCAGCAGGAACCTCGAGTGTCAGCAGTCATCTCAGTCTGCAGAGCTAAGAGACAGGAGGTGTAGAATACGAAGAAAGGATAGAACAAATGTGGGATGTGAAATAGAAAATAAATGAGGTGAGAATGGAAGGAATGAGGTAGCGGGGGAGGAAAAGCAGAGGCTGCATTAACACCTCGCCAGTACTGACTCCAAACGGTCCCTAGAAGAAACACCTGCAGGGTTATTAAAATCATCACCCTCTTGTGAGCATGACTAAGCTCAGCAAACTTAATTGCATTCTGGATATTAAATTTGAATATTTATTATATATAAGTATATAAGTTTGTCCTTACGTTAAAGCAAGTGAAAAGTCAGTCACCAGAAACAATCAGATTTGTTCTATTTGGGTCCACCATTAAGAGCAAATTTCATGGAAATCCAACCCATTCCTTTGAGATACGGTTTAATGGTTGTGTCAACATCCGTTTCTAAGCAGCAGAAGAAGAACGAGGAGACCGAGACCAAGAAGAAGAGGGAGGTGAACCTGGTCATCTCTCATGCGCCCTCGGGAGACAACTCCAACCTCTCTGCAGACGGAGACGACTCCTTCATCAGCGTTGAGATGGACTCGGCCATGCCCAGTCCCTTTAGTGAGGTGAGGGAACCCAGGGGGGAGGAAGTAGAAGGGTGTGAGTGTCCTTTTATTGAAATGAAGGAAGTGGAAGAGGATACAAGTTCTGTATATGACTGAATGAATGTTACAGAGAGGGGTAATGGCTGCTCCATCAGGATACTTTGGCGTGAATCCACATCCTTTTTTAATTATTGATTCTCTCTGTCTCTATGTCACTTCTGCTTCCCCTCCTTAATCTGATCATTTCCTCCACTCTTACTTTCTACATCCTATCTATTCCATCCGTCCTTCCCTTCTTCCCGTGCCTCCCATCCTCCGATGCTCCCTTCCTTCTCCTCGTTCCTTCTCATCGTTCCTCCATTGTTTCCCTTTGCTGTACCGGCCCGGTTCACTCGTTCCCTGTGGTGCTGACTCCCCTGCCTTTGTGTGTGTGTGTGTGTGTGTGTGTGTGTGTGTGTGTGCGTGTGCGTGTGTGCTCCTGTGCACGACCAGATCTCCCTGAGCAGCGAGCTCCAGCCCGGCTCGTTACCTCCGGACGCCGACGCGGACGAGAGCAGCAGCGACATGCTGGTCATCGTGGACGATCCGGTGTCCTCTGCGCCGCAGTCTCGCGCCACCAACTCCCCCTCCTCCGTGTCTGGATCCGTCTCTGACAACATGAACGGTGAGCGGGAAAATAGGTTTCAGCCGAGCTTTGACTTTGAAGCGTGAGTGAGTGAAACAATACACTGTACAGTCGCTAGTGCCTTATTCCAGGAACGAATGACTGAAAACGGGATATTGTCTCTATTTTCCCCCGAAAATCTGTTTTACTTTAAGCTTCAGTGATTGCAGTCAGTAAAATATTAAATGAACTCTTCTTATTATGCTACTAAAAAGCTCTAACTCTTGGGTAATAGTCATTTCTGTCATGAAAATTGTCACATTTACACAGTGGTGGAAGTAATTAAGTACAGTTACTCAAGTACAAGTCATTTAGTACAATTCTCAGATACTTGAACATCAGTATTTCTATTTTATGCAACTGTATACTTCTACTCCGCTACAAGTACTTTTTACTGCACCACATTTAACTGGCATCTAGGATTACTGTTTCATTTGCAGATTTAAATTAATACAAAACATTTGATCATTTTTATAAAGAAAGTGTATTAAGTAGCTCCAACAGTAAAACAATAAAATGCTGCTTAATCAAATGCTTGCCTCCTATAGGGACATCATACACGGTCAAAATGTTCATGTTTGATGGTTTCCTAATTTCAGATAATCTCGCTGCATGCAATCTGTCATTCTAAAAACTCCAAATGTGCCAAATAAAGCATAACCGGTGTGTTATCTGTGAGGCAGAACAGTGTTGGAAATCAAATCTGTGTGACTCGCATGTAGGTCATTACATCATGTTCTCTTGCGTCCATTGAGGCAAGTAGTCTGTTACCTCACATGTACTACGCAGGTGATTATTTAGATTTAAGAGGGTTTTATTTTGGCCGCAATGTTTCAGTATGTTCCGTACTATGAGATCCAGATAGTTTACATCGCCTGTACAGTATATCTGTACTTTGGATGCGCTGCAATAAGGTAATCCCTCCTAAATACATGCTGCTCTGTGGAAACCCATTTGGGACGTTTGCCGATATGTTAAGAGGCTCCTGCCAGGGAGATTATTAACAAAGCCTCAGCGGGCTGGGAGAAAGTTAGTGCCTTCAGAGAAGCGAATGGCGTTGTGATGATAGGTTTGAGAGAGAGAAGGATGGTTAGAATGAGGGAGCAATTGTGAGAAGGGAGGAAGGGCAAGATTTAGTCTTGGAGGGAGGTTAAGAGAGAGGGATTTGTGGTGGGGGACAGGTTTTAGTGAGAGAAAAGGCTCATTTCTCCTCAGAAAAAGGGTTGTTTATACAGTGTTTGCATGGAAACATGCAACAAAATGTAGACCAGTGGGGAGAGTAGGGAGTCAGAAAGAGGGGGAGAAGGTTCTGGAGGGATTAGGCACATTACCAGTGAGGCAAACACTGGCTCTAGTTCTGCAAACAGTTTGGAAAATGAGAGCAATATTTTGGTTTTTGCCTTAGCTTGTACTTAGGGTAACGATGAGTAACGATTAGTAGTAATTCTTCTGTATTACAGGAAAACTATCATGTCAGGGTCTTTCAAGGACTGTGTATATATGCCAAGCTTGCCAAACTTACTTTATTTATGTATCCACTCTCTACAATATATATTCAAAGAACTTGTACTACTGGCTTTGGTACAAGGATGGAAAAAAACAGAACAATTTCTGATAGTTTTTACTTTTATGTGCTTGCCTTCCCTTCCTCAGGCGTTTCAGCCTCGGAAACAATCAGTCCCGGCAGAGGCAGGTCTGGGCGGAGTCGGGGGCGGCCGAAAGGATCCGGAGGCGGGTCGAAGTCGGGAGGGAAAGGACGTGGGCGCAAGTCAACGGCGGGCAGTGCGGCGGCCATGGCAGGAGCGATGGCCGGTGCGGCGGCTGCTTCTGCGGCAGCTTACGCTGCTTACGGTTACAGTGTTTCTAAAGGTTCGTGAATGATTCATATACGCTTTGCGGAAGGTCCCGCTAAAGTAGGTGTCTCCAGGAGCACCATGGTAGTAACCATACCTATGTCCGTCCCACCTTCCAGCAGGCCTCGCTGCGTCCAGCCCCCTGCAGCCTTCCCTGGGCCGGTCCGGTACTAGCCCCGCCTTCAACCCCAGCAGGAGCTCCTCCCCCCAGGCCAAAGGAGGCGCCTCTACGCCGAGCCCCCACAAACAGCTCGCCCCCAGCCACCACCACCACCACCACCACAGCAGCCACGGCGCAGTCAGGAAGGGCAAGGGCCCCGGTGGTCCTGGGGCTCGATGATGCACACTGTACACACACACACACACACAAATGTGCCCACACACACACTCCGTATAGAACACACACAGATAACTGACCTACTCTCACTGTGATCCCCACAGACGCCCTATGCCTAAACTAACATGAAATACAGTAGATAGTAACAGAGGCTCACTACCTGGAGGACCATGCTGTGTCTGCTGGCTCAGCAACTAAAATTACCCTCTTCACACCTACGCGCACACACACACACACACAATCATTTGAAGGTACAGTCCCTACCAGCCTCCACATTTCTTGGTTCAGTTTTATTTTAACGTGTCCGGGTCAGCGGACAAAATCCGCCTTGAGTATTTTTGTTTGCATTGCAGCAAGAGTATTTCCAAGTGCTTCTCTGAGAAGACCGACTGTACTTTTCTCGCCGTGACAGGAAATTCTTCGATTGGCTACCGAGCTGTGACAACATAAAAGTGAACCGACACGTGTAGCTTCAAGGGCTTTGAAATGTTTTGCCAGTTTAGGGAGGCAAAGGAGTCACTGTCAAATGCACTGAGCCACGTCTTCCTTCTTCTTTTTCTTTTGTTTGTTTGTGTTGTTAATTCTCACACATGTACATTAGGTTATTTAATTGTTGTGTAGATATGCTCAGTGCAAACCGGTGGATGGTTCTTCATTTCACAGAGCTGTGAACCGTATACCTTACCACCCCACACTTTACCAAACGATAGCTCGACAGCTTTTCTACTAAAGCGCCTATTTTTGTAATAGATGATGCGTGCGAGTACCCATACCAACATGGCAGGTCTTAACATTTTGCAAATCTTTTGTCTTTTGGAAATTAAAATCGATGATATATTTTTTTTTGTCCAATGGGAAAATGAACGAATGGATGATGTGAAAATTATATTCCAAAACGAGGCGTACTGGTTGATCCGGCAATGCTGCTAACAGTAAATTTATCAATTCACTCAGATTATTTGGTTGTCTTTATTTAAGTTATTTGAGTTGTATTAAAGCAAAAAATGGGCAATTCATGATCGTTGCGAATGAGGGTATTCATCTGTAAAACTGTGTAAATTGTTCTGAAGCCATTTTTACTTGTCAGAGATTGCTTTTTGTGATGAGGAGTCTGCGGTTCTCTTTGATGTCATTGATGTTTTAGCAACAAACGTTTGCATCAGTGTCCTGAGTTGAGCACTACATCTGTTACAGGCTTGTTTGTTTTGTGTTAATAGTGTGATTAAAATTCGATGTTCTATATTGCTGTACATATTGATGAGAGCGACATTTCCTTTGGCTTTTCCCTCATTTGCCTGTCTATTTTTATAGGTCATGTGTACATATGAAGAAATGCATCTGCCATTTTACTAACAGGAGGAGCCAACTGAAAATAAAAGACTGCTTACTCAGCCTTTCTGCTTGTTTTTAATCTTTTTGTTTTTTGTGGTTTTTCTTGTAACTACTTTTTACTGAAGAAATAGTCCCTATGAACCTAAATAATTGGGACTTTGTTTTAGGAAAGACATGTTGAGTTTTCCTAATATAGTTTTAGTGCTTTTAGCAGCCCAAACCAAATTCCATTCAGCTCCATTTCATCTGGGATGGAGGTGGAAATGTCAAAGGCATATTTTTATTTATTTATAATTTTGGTACACCAACCCTTTAACAAATACATTGTGCATATTGAGGTCTTGATTTGAATAAAACATAACCCAATCAAGGTGATGCATTTTTTATTTGGTGGGTTGTAAAGGTCTGAGAAGTCAATACTCTGAAGTGCACCTGAATTGACGCCAACTATATTTTCACATGGTTGGGTGAGATTGAATCTCGATGAGCGCCTCAGCATCGTGTTCTTCCCGGTGCACTCTGACATGACCACTGAGCGGACTGTAAACACAGGACTTCCAGTTCTGGGCTCGTTCCCGGCCAGCGGTTATATAAGCCTCTGGGACCAGATTGACTCTCGACTTGAATCACGTCCAGGGTACAAGCTCCTCCGGCCAGCGTTTTGGGAGTGTCCAATGTATGTTTGTACATGTGTATACTGTTCCAAAAAGCAGGTTTACAGAGTTATCTGGATAATGCTGCCGAGTACATTCTGCCACGCAGTCAAACCTGAAACAAGGGCTCAGTAGAGTCCTCTGGCTGGCTGGATCTCAGTCAACCTGCTTCTTGGAACAAGCCTCAGGCCTTATAAGGTTGTCAAATGTGGCATGTGTGTGTATGCAATTGACAGATCCATATATGTAATAATAATTTGTCCCTGTGGCTACAAACCTTTTAAGCTTGTGACCCTTTTAAGTCTCCATCACAGGTTATTTAATGTGAATGTGTTGTGAACAGCTTCAACGATTTATCCTTCCTTCTCCAAGTTTAATTCAAAGGCCCTGTAGTCATCTTGTGCCTCTCAGATTTATCGAAAGAAGAGACCACTGGTTTAGGTTTAATTCAGCCTTTGTTGCATCTCCATAGATGGATGTAGACGTATCACGTCTTTTTCAGATGTGTAACTTTATATTTTCAGCACTACATGAAGAGAAAGGAGGCAATATAAACGAAGCTTTACTGCAGTGATCAGAGACTTTGAACCACATAGGATTGGTTTTGTAAAAATCAGCACGAGGTTGGTTGGTCACATTCTGAAGAAAACCTCCCCGACTCAGAGTTACTGTGAAGGTACAAACAACAAAAACAAAGAGTTCTTTTAACTTTTTATTGGAGTTTGCTGCTGGATGAAAACATTGCCACAAACAACTGTTTAAAACAGGTGTGCTTTTAAAAAAAACAAAAAAAAAAAAACCACCACACATTATCACAGCATCCTTTTGGTGAATTGCAAATAGGAGCAACCACAATTACTTGCTGTACTGTCTGGATTGGACGGAACTTGAACTGTGCAAATAATGTTAATGTGCCTTTAAAAAAAAAAAAAAAAAACAGAACTGCACAAATGTTTACAGAAAAGGACAAACCCAGTCATCATACATTTTGTAAGTGATGTACAAATATGCACATTACAATGCGACCATGAGGTCATGCATCAGGAAAATAACCAAACACCTAACATCATGCTTCCCTTTTATTATCATAGTAGCATTCAATGGATTCAAGTACACTGGATGGAAGTGTAAAGTTAAGATTTCACAACATTAAACACAGGTGGACTGGCATGATATGTGAAAAGCCTCTGTCTGTGTGTGTGTGTGTGTGTATGTATCCACTATATAAGGTAGTGAGACAAAGGGTACGAGCTACTGGGCTGCTAACAGGTAGGACACCACGGTCAGCGCTGCTGCCTCGATGGAGAACAGGTGATGGTCTTCCACGTGCGGGCAGCTGCTCCTCATGAACTCGGCCAGCCGGAGCAGATACTCCATGTTGTGGCCCGTCTTCCCCCTGCACACAGCGATCTGGACGCCAATCATCTCCGGGCTGGCCGGCCCCAGGTACAGGGCGTTCCCCGTGGTGGCGATGTACACCAGCGCCTGAACCGGAGGCCGTTCCTCCCCCTCGGGGAAGAAATCCACCATCTTGGTGATGTAGCCCCCGCAGACAGTCTCGCGGAGGTTGAGGTACTTCAGGGACTCTTCGACTTCACTTCCCGTCACCTCGAACGCCACGCCCCAAGTGCTCTCCTGTGAGAAGAGGGAAAATATTATGAGTCATTGTGTAGTTAAAGTCTGGAAACTCCCCTGCAGTTTCTACACCAACACTAGCAAACAAATAGAAAGTAGAGCTTTTCCACTTACGTCATCGTCTTCAATCAGCGTCACCACTCTTCCAGGCTGCAGAGAGAGAGGAAGAGAAACGCGTCACGGACAACGCTTGATGCAATCTGAGCCAAGAGGCTCACAAACAGTAGCTGGCTGTGCCAAAGTAAGCAAACGAGCACCATGTGTCAAAGTATGTTAAGCAATAAAACAACATTTAGCATCTTACCAACTCCTCGTTGCCGCGGTGGAAGTTGTCTCCGTGCCAGAAACGTCTCTTGTAGCCTTGAATGTAGCCGACCTGGCTCCTCCTGTACTTGAAGTCAGGCTTCCACACCAGAGACCCGTACCCGAAGACCCACAGGCTGGCTTCCCCGGCGATGATGTCTTGAGGCTTCATTTTTTTTAAATTAATTTTAGTGTTGACGTTCAGATGAATCGATGAATCTCTCTTTCAGTTGGTGTTGTTTATTAGCTAAGGTGACTAGCTAGCGTTAGCTTCCTCCGGTCCAGGAGCAGCGGTACCGGTTGGCTCGCAGGTATACCGCGGACGGTATTTGAGCCCAACTGCTTAGCAGTCGCGAAAATTGAATTTCGCAGTTGATTTTGCCTTGCATTATGCATTGCATTAGAGGTGCCGCATTATGCCTTAAAAATCCATGGCAGCCGTTTCGGCCTTCAAACCAATGGAAAACGCTAAAAAAAAAACGTTTCGGCCAGCAGCTTCGCCGGCCGGTGACACTACGACTTCAAAGCTAACGAATATAAAAGATGGAGGTTTGATTTAGCGGTGATGGCGGAGTTTCAAACGTCTTGTGGTTGATCTTCTCCTAGCCAAGAAGCGCCGACGACTTGATTCGTTTCCCCTCGATAACATGGCGCAGTGTCGCTTATGTATTTATACCGTTCAGGTCAGTTGGGCGAATCCATGTCAGTTTTTTCGACCAATGATATTTAAGGAAGGCTCCGTCCATCCAATCAACTGTCGGTGCGCTGAATAAGGCGGGACTTCAAGCCAAACAGGGTACACTATTGGCTCAAATGTAACTTTCCAGTACACTCAGCTTTCAAAATGATTGGCCGTCAAACTGTCACTCCAACTGACTCATTCTATGATTGGCCGCTTGTTTTGTCATTCTCTGGATATATTTGCCTGATGCAACTTCCCTCAGCATTTCAGGCCTCAGGGCCAATGCAGCAACCAAGCAACATACCAAGGCATTGCATCAGACTTGTTCTGGGAGAGAAAGGCCTATATAAGGTGATGTTTTTTATTTTACAAGATACGGTATGCCACCAAGAAAATAAAGGAAGACAATATGAAATCATATTTGAAGTTAGACACAAGACAAATACAATACATTAGTCTAATTCTGCCAGTGGAAACAACATGGCCTGAAGACTGTAGGCCTACAGATAGAAGTCAACATTGAGATTGGAGTAAATTAATAAGCCCCCATACATGGATGTTTAAATGATTCAGGGAAAGTGCAGGCTGTAATCTAGTCACATAGCTCACAGATCCAAAGGCAAGACAAAGGTTGCTGAGGATCCTTCAGCAACACCTTCATCTCAGCCCTCTGGAACCAGGGAGATAACTTGTTGAAGGAAGGTGGGCAGAGGTTTTTGTTCTTGTCAAATTTGTTTCATTGTCTATAATCACAGTTTTGCTTTCTGTTGACACAGAGGGTAGAGCCATTTTTATACACTTTACCCAACAAGCACCCTACTTTGGCAGCCAAATACAGGCTCATAAAGTAGAAGGCATGAGTTTGACAACCACCCCAGGTTTAGACTATGTGGACAACACATTTCCAATAAACCAAAAAGTAGCAAAAGTAAGCAGAGGAAATAGTGAATCAAAACTGTCAAAACACTGTCCACCGCAGAGACACAACAAGAGAGAGCGATGATGGAAGACCTGATCAAATGTACAAAAATGCCCATCCCTCCTGCTGGATCTGAAATACCGTAATAGTACAGGCTCATCTGTGCTCAATAGATAGATTATCTATAAATAGCTGGCATTATCTGCCTTGATAAGAGGCCAGACAACCTTATCAGCTCTTCATAAATCTAAACCACCACCCAATCCAGGCCTTTGGGCGACCCTGTGTCATGCACAAGCTTCCATCCCATTATGCCGTGGCCTTTCCTGTCCATCCACTCCTGGAGCCTGCTGCCACAGTATCTCTGGGCGGCTCCAAGCACAGGCCACCGAAGGCTTCACTAAGCCATACCGACAGCATTGCTTGTAATCTAATCTGGTGCGCTGCTTCGATGACCAGTCGATTTATCAAATATTCACCGGGGCTATTTGTCTTTGCTGTCAAACTAATGCATTTAAAATAGATCAACATTCAAGCCCTGGGCTGACTCAAATATGAAGTCATGTAGTAACGTGTGTGGAGAAAAACACCCTTTTCTGCTGTTTTTTTTTCCAGCTCACAAGATATGAAGTAAATGCAGACAAACAAGATACTGCTCTGGTTAAACAGGGGTGGTGGGGGGCAGCAATCCATATATCACTCCTGCAGCAGTGGAGGTGCACGTCGTTGTTTTTATGAGTATGATGTACACATTCTTTTGCAAGTCAGAGGGAGGTTGCTGGGTAACTGGGACAGCTCAGTAACAGCTAAAGTTCTGCAGAATGTGACTTTTTACTTGCAAGAAAACACCCTCAACACAGATTGTGGCTCAAACACTTCCAGGAGGTTTGTTCTGAATTATTGATTCATCGTTGGATTCACAACATAAGCGTGTTTCATGCTCCAAAGTGTTTAGGTTATGTGCTGCTGTTTGATTATGTTGCTTTAAATTTAAACTCGAGTGCACCTGGTCTTTTATTTTGGCATGCTGACAAACCATTTCCTGTGTGTGGGTTTCTTACTGACACCTAGTGTTAATTAATGAGACGACTACAAGGGCAATACAGGGGGCAAGGTTACAGAGCACTGGGTTACAGCATCAGGATGTATATGTATGCATGTACGTGCATGTCAGGAGCCAAATGAGACTTTAAATTAAGTGACAAAGAGTTGCAGCCATGAAACAAATCCAGAGCTAAGTAGTTTTGCACTCTTGATTGTGACTCAGCGTCACCATTTTTGAAAAGTGTCACGCAGAGGCACTTCTATTCCTAATGAAGAGATAGGAAGATTTGAATTTGAAATCTGCTTCCTGATTCTCCATTCATGACATCCATGTCACAGATTTCCCCCCCTCTTCCTTCTTCAGAATAAATAGTTGCTGATTAGCGTGTTTGTCTGCGCTCTCACTTGTTTTGAGGTTGTTTCCTCAAAACCCGGGTGCAGATTGAAGAGAGCGATGCGTGAGAAAAGCAGTTGGCCCGCGCCGGCATGTTCTGCATTTTTTTAATCAGGGAGGAAACAGGAACTGATGTCACCGGGTCACAAACAGGATGCTGTGATTATAACACAATGAAAACGCCTGGCCATGGCTGTGGGGACCCAGAGGCCAAAGAGCAAAGCTCTAGCATGTGTTTGCCACCGCGATCAAGTGTGAAAGAGGGTGTGTGTCTGGTTATAGGTGTGTTGATGGTGGGAATAGACTCCAAGTACTATCAGGCTGGGTCAGGTAACAGACCAAATCAAGACTGGCTTTAACTGGGTGATTAATCGTTGTGATAACGTGTATCTCTTGAGTCAGGCCGGAAGCACCCTTCTCCGAGCCCTTAGATGAGGATGCCTATAGGTCACCAGGCTAACAGGATGTGTGTGAGGGGAAAGCCATCCAGATTCTCTGCCGGGTGTTGATTGCCGATGATTAGGGGGTGTTGACTGTCGCAGGATTTCTGTTAATTGGCGGCAGGAGGTTTGCAATTGATAATGTGGATGACACAAAATGGATTTTCAGACACATTGGAACAAATTGTAGGACTGATGCTTGCGCGACATCCCAACATCAACGAGTGGTGGTACGTGTATGGCACCGTATTTTTTTTAAAAGACAAGAAGGGAAATAAAACTGAGCAGATGGCTCTGATTAATCAACTTTTCTAAAAACAATATTTTTATTTATGTGGATTCAGAACAGATCCACTTAGGCTCCCCGTTTGGCTTCCCCTCCCCTCTGGTGCCAGGCCCTCTCCCCTGCTTTGTCTGCAGGAGTGGGTGGTACAGAGCCCGACATTGAAATATTGCTCTTAACCCTGAAGGGGAGGCCGGCAGTTGGGGAGCCTGTAAGTACTCGGGTGTGTTTTTTTATGGGAGGAGGTCTGTGCACTCTGTGTCATGCACACAGGGCGAGAGGCCTGGCATATGCTGCTGTTTTTATGGCACTACAGACTCACTCCGAGCTCCCCCACGGCATCTGTTTGGCTGGCTATGTGTGTGCGCGGACGCGTGTGCGCAAGCATTATGAGGGGTGTTGGGTGTTGGGTGGGGTGGGGTGGGGGGGGGGGCGTTCCCCTTTGCCCTGCGCCTGGCTTTGTTTCGCCATTTCCAGCTTGAGGGGGTGGTATCCCTGGAAACGGATTTGAATTTCAAGCCAATTTCGGGCCGGAGAGAGACGGAGGGGTGGGTGACGGAGTGGGGTGGGAGCCAGAGGCGTTTCCAGGAATTACTTGGAAGTACTGTAGTGATGCTACAGTCGGGGAGGGGGGGGCTTTATGTTTCTACCTATTGTCCAAAAAATGAAATATGATGTGTGAGTGTAGGAGAGCAGCTGGATTTCATATTCATAAAACGGTTCACATTCATTTTAAAAGTCTAGCTGAGCATTATGGGTATGAATTGAGAGTACAGGATGAAGCTTCAACAATCTCCCCCTCGGTGAAATGCGTAAATAAATAAATAAATACAAGACACATTTGATCATCATTTGTACTCAATTTCATTATTTAAAAACACCTCAAAAATAGTTTCCTTTTCCATTTACTGACATCAAATTAAAAACAGTTTTCAAGGAAGTTTTATTCTTCAGAATTTGGTCCTTATAAATATGCATTATATACAAAATAATATTATAAAACATATAAAGAGCAGTGTGTCATATTTAAATTAAACTCTGGAAATAATCATTTAAAAAAATTACATTATTGGTTCTGTATTTTTGAATTGTATTATAGGCAGGCAGTGGTGTGACAGTCTTTTCTCCTTGTTTTGAGTCTCTTTGTTTTTCTCACTTGGGGTTGCATAAAAAACACTTTATATGCAAACTTTTCCGTTCTCTTGGATCTTGCTGGCACTGACTATTGCTCTCCTGTGGTTTTCTCTTCAATTCCATGTTGATTAAAAAGTATTTCCCCCAATTTTCTTTTGTCTTGTAGTGCAAACGATCCAAGAACAGACAAGGGCACAAATTTAGCATTCAAACCCCCTCTTTTAAGGCTTCTAGTGAATTTGGGCTGCATACTATCTTCACCGTTGCATGGAAAAGTCCAACCTGTCATTTTCACTTGATTGACAGTTGAAGATTAGTTTCAGACATTCATAACTCTCAGTGTTTGGGAGGTTGGATTGTGACAGTGGGCGAGTTCACTCGTCTCGACCCTGAGTCTTGCATAGCAGGCGAAGCTGGCAGGAGTGAGTGCGGGGGCGGGGATTTGAAGGGGTCAAATCGTAGGCACCTTTTTGTTTTTTACTGATTGGTTGGCTGTCAAAGTCATCATGATTATCACACGAGGCCCGGGACACATACGAGGGGGCAGCGATCCACCTTCGCCTCCTTCTACAGTCCAGGATGGCCGGGATTATCCTGTCAATCTTTTTACCAGTCCCTCCAACCATTGTCACAACTGAGAGAGGTCCTTCACTGTACATGTTTTGCATACAAACACTCGGTCAACATAAAGTTTCTCAGTTCTGTTCTTTTTTTTTTTTATTCTTTTTTTTTTTTAATGCAGAGCAGAGGCTTCTG